GATGCTCTTTCAGAGAGCCTGTAGACAGCATAACGTAAAGGCTTTAGAAAAGTCTCATACAGACACTTTTGCTTCCAGGTTACCTGCCATAACATTCATTAACGGTTAAGGTATTAAGAATGCCAGGTATGTAACTGTAAAAAAAACATGAGGTTGGAGAAGTTTGTGCATCACTGAGGTGTATGTTATTAAAATGACTCGTAACTGTACAGTTTTACATACATTTATAAAATCTATGAAGAGATTTATAAAATCATGGAAGTGTTGCCTATATTACCCCTAAGCTTTTATTTCCTAAAGCACAGCGGGAAAATCAAACATGAAGTCTGAATGATTGCTGTGGGCAACACTTCCATTTTAGACTTTTCCAGTTTTCATAAACTGGTTCTACAGTATTTAGGACTGTAAAATAATGCACCAAGCTACAGGAGATGAATAGATATTTGAAGGGATTCTGTTGAGCAATGAACTGCTGTAAGAAGGCTCTGTTTTAACCAAGCATTATGATTCGTGCATTGCATTATTAGTTTTGGATCAAAGAAACACCTTATAGACTGAACATGTCATCCATGAGTTGGCTGATATGACTATTAAAAGCCTTCTCACACAGATTTTGTGCCAAAGATTAAAGCTGAACTCCAGGCAGATATAAAATACACAAATTAATACACTTCTGTATTCATGTTAAATATATATTTAAAAAAAAAAAAAAAAACAACCAGTGTAAATATCAAGATTTGACTTGGTATATGCCTTTGAACCCTCAATGCATCAAAGCTCAGAATGGGAAGGGGTGAGGAAAAGGCAACACAAGGATCTAGTCAGTTCATGTGCCAACAAGGAACATGCTGATAGAAGAATACAGTAGAGTGGAACCAAGATTAGTTCACTGATGTCCTACTTTTTTTTTTGTCCAGTACCTAGCTGAGCATGGATCAAGGACAGCCTGGGTTCATAGGAAGGAAGCTGAATAATGCTGGCTGTCATTCAACATGGAAGACTGAGTACATCTAATGGTGAAAAAATACTACAATGGACAATTTTGGACTGAAGGTGTCTAATGAAGCAAAAAGATGCTTTTTCTCTGTTAATTGGCTATTTCTGATAGGAGTTCTGCTTTAAGAGGAGAAAAAAAAAAAAAAGGAAAAGAAAAAAATGCAAATTGCAAAAAGCAATCAGTGGTTCGTGGGTGCAATGGTCCTGGCTCCTGCAGACTTTTTCCTCCAGCTCAGGTCTGTACCTAGGTAGACATGTTCAGTTATGAAGCTGGAAGAAGTATCAATGGACTACAAGTGTGTTGACCTGACCACATCTGTACCCTATTGAGAATTAGAGTTTCTTCTGTCACAGTTTTTTCACTCTCTGTCCTAAATATGAGTGTAACCGGAAACACGGCCTGAAAGGTGGAGTTAGCTTTTAAATCTTTTTACATTCCCTTTGTGAGGTTTGGCCAGCAGTCTTTGGTCTACTCTCAGGTTTTCTGCCAATTCACCTCTACCCTCAAAGATTACTTGCTGCTCGGATTGCTGGGCGCTTCTTTATTTATTTTGTTTGGAAAAACCCATCACCATCTGCTGCTGATCCTATATCAAATCACAGAAGGCTGAGAAATTACATGACAGAACCACATAACCAAAACAGCTTTCTTGGTGTACTCGGAACAAATACCTCTAATACCTTCAAAAAAATGTGAAGTGTATTCCCTTGTTCACTATGACCATGGAAACACTGTAAGCATCCAGTGCAAAACTACATACAGTAGTAGTAAATGAGAAAAAAATGTGTCATAGACCAATACTAACTGGGAAATGAAAACCACCAACTACTAGTCTATGAATAAAACATTCTACAGTGGCAACTTCCTAACAAATTTGAAGGATACACTGTTAATAATCACAATAAGTATCTAAACTGTAACCACACTGACACTAAGGTGCAAGTCTGTGGCCAGGCAAAATGCAGGATACATGAAGAAAACCTGTTATGTACCAGGTAGGTTTATTAATGTTGTAATAATGCAGTCAGCATGTTAAACGTGTCTAGGAACTGTGGCACTATTTAGGGAAACTCATTAACACTTCTGCTGGAAATCTGACAGAATAAAATGGAGTAAATTCCATGTTTGATGGAAAAATGTTCCTTCCCCCATGCAGTCAGGGACTAGAAAGCCAATAAGATGAGCAAAGAAAAAAAAAAAAAAAAAAAACAGACAATGCCTGAATTTTCCATTATATATACAATGCAGGCAATATCTGCCATCCTAAACACGAGTGAAGCTACAGCCTGTATCGATAGAAAACCTCAGGAACTATATAATGGAGTTATAGAACAAGAATGAAGCCCATAAAGCCAAATTGAAGAATTCCAGGCAACCTTGTGAGTAGGATTTGATGAGAAAAAACACTGATGGCATTTGATTTACCTCAACAGGGCCTGTATAGGATTTGTTTTTGGTGCAGGCCTTACTTTACTTGGACTTAAAATCACTGTATAATCTCAATATATAGAATCAAGAACAATCCTCTGTCTAATTGCACTGTGCTCAATAAAGTTAGAAGGATTTGGGGGTCTCTATTTTTTTTGTTTTTCATTTTTAAACGTTTTATATCTTTTACGGAATATATTTTTAAACAATGTATTTATCATCTTTGTTTTGCATATAACCATTAATACAGGGTGCACACAGAGATTCACAGAACATATGGATTTACCTAAAGAGACCACAGCAGGCAACCTCTCTCTGTCTCAAAAACGTGTCAAGAGAATGGATGGGAAGGGGAGAGAGATGAATCACTGCTCTGACTATTCATCAGTGTGTAAACTGAAACCTAAGCTATTGAGATCTGTAAACACATTCATTAGCAATTCAACTAAGCCTATTGTGTCAAACATGTGAGGAGTACTGGCTAGAAATAAAGTATAAAATATTTAATGGCTAAATTTCATATTTACCTGACAAAAATAAAGGAAAAAATAGAATATTTGTATTCACTGCAATTTTTTTTCCTTTGAGTTCACTAAGAGTTGCATTCAAGATCTAGTTGTGATATCCCCACCCAACAATAAAACATTACATTTTTTAAAGAAAGAAAATATGTGGCATGGGATTACCAGTGAGCCAGGAAAGATCTGTTACTGTTCATCAAACCCCAATACTGAATTTTCACTGCTGGCTGGACTTCTCATATAATGTGTGTCTACACATGCCAGTCTGAAGCTATTCTATTACATGAAATGTCAACTGCATTTTAGAAATGAGAGTAACAAAGTTATGTCATGGTCAGAATCTCACAATTAGAAATATTTCTGTATGTTATGTGAAAAGAAATGTATAACTGATGAATTTGGCACCAATATGCAGTAGATCGGCATTAAACTGCTTTACTCTCTAGGGTTTTCTCTGTGATTTCATTATAGTGGCACAAAATGATAGACAGTGTTTTTAGGGGATTATTAATGCAGCTCACAAATCTTTCACAGTGCAGACTTTATTTTAGCGTTTAATAAGCCATGTACGGAATATGAATGTGTGCATGAAGCACAGCTGAACTGGCTATCATTACTGTCCCTTAAAATCTTCTGTTCCCAGCTTAATTTGTTATGTGGGTTACAAAGATTGCACCAATCATATACGTCACGGGTACCTGGGAACCCGACTCAGTTTTACATAGACGTTTCTTGTATATCTGGTCTGGTAAAAAGACCAATAACGGTGAACAAAACCACAGTGGTCTCTCCTGGAATGTGTTTTAACTCCCCCATGTTATTCCTGATTAACATTTATTAGGCCATTGATCTGTAACTTGCACAGCCATTTCCCATCTGTGGCATTGACCTATTTAACTATCCCATTTTTATTTCTGATAAAACACAAAAAAAATTTGTTGCCACAATTAACAATAAATGTATGGAATCCTGATCTGGTTACTAATTTGAGATTCTGGCAAGTGTGTTGAACGAGCTAGTATGGGAAGTATGTAATTTATAGTACCAAGATAGGTTTTTTTCCACATGTTGGCACCTTTCCATGGTTTTTAAGAGCCTGCACACGCAAAATGTTGTTACCTAAAGGGTCTGTAGATTTCCAAAATGCATTTATAACAAGTGGAGTTCAAATTGTACTTGGTGTTGCTGATTACCATATTCCTAAACTACCAATGCTTATATTTTAAAGACTGAATGAAAGAGCATTTTAATAATTGTCAGTGCACTTCTATCTGCTATATACACACACTCAAGATCATTATCTAGCTCATGGGTGCTAAACCTGTGGCTCTCCAGGTGTTGTGGAACTACAAGTCCCATGAGGCATTGCAAGGCTGACAGCATGACTCCCAATGGCAGGGGCATGATATGACTTGTAGATCCACATCACCTGGAGGACCACAGGTTGAGCACCCATGATCTAGCCATTTTCATATTAACTAGAGATGTACTGGGCACATCACATTAGATTCTAGTATGGAAAGACCAGATGGCTAATGCAGACATCATACAACAATTCAGTTCATTGTCCTCAACATCCAGTTCAACATCAAGTCCAGACCAGTCAATGATGAGTATGTGAATGAATGTCCAATCTGTTAATAATCAGGGTGTCTGGAAAGGTAGAGCTATCCATAAGTGTATGATGGTACTAGGAAGGCAAAATGGTATAAAATTCACATGCTGATCAATTGATATTTGGAGGCCAAGGGCAAAACAGTTGACCCTTTCCCTTAATAACCACATATGATATATTGTATAACTGGTCATGTTGTACATCTATCAATGAGACAGCGAGAGCACTAAGAAAGGACAACATATTTAGAAAACCACTGAAACATTTATGTTCAGCTGTTAAATATATCACATTATAAGGAGAGAGCCAAGTCCCCCCACATACAAGAGAGCATAGGTGTCCATGAAGGACTGGTTTGCTGGCAGCGGGAGGTCTCCTTTCAGCAGATAGAGGTCCAGAAACTGCACAGGGCAGGGGAATCGCTGAGCTGTCCCATTCATCATACACATTCCTCAGCAGACATCAGCAGTGGGTTGATGTATTCAAAACCTTCAAATTCAGACTGGTCAATCTTCCTCACAGCATCCCTGTTAGAAGTGGAGAGAATTTATTTAATGAGCTGTAAATGCATGGTGTAAAATACACTGCAATCACACTACATAGGGGGGCCTGCTATCGAGATCAGATGTGAAGGAGATGCAAGCTTTTATTAGTTGTGGCAATTACTGGTGTAAAGGATAGTCCCAGGGAAATTATTTATTTTTATAGGGGAAGACTTGCTCACATGTACTCCATGTATGCAAGTTAATTTCTCATTTAAATTAACTACAGTGAAGCCCCAAGCCACATTGCTCCAATATATATTTAAATGCTGCAATACAGTAAATGAATCACTTTTTGTTCATCCTCCAAACCTATTGTTTCTTTTTCTTTTTTTTTTTTTACTTCTGACCTTGATAATCATTGACTCATAGATGGTTTCATCTTATAAAGTCAGTGTTTTTATATCAGCAGCCCTCGCTCTGGTACCCTGACTTTCAATAAAGTCAGTTCCTTGTAAACTCCCACCTTCTCCAAAGGAGATATTATATTACTGAACAGCTGAGTTCACAGCTCGGATATTGTGTGCTTTATTTACCTAGCGTATGTATTAAAACTTGGGCTGAAAAGCTGATTGTACAGCAGAAGTTTCATCACCAGGATTCTTTATCAAATGCAATCTCCCCCTGAGCTATTTCACATAAGCTGGCAGCTTAAAATATAATTATAAGTAAGTAACTACAATGTAAAAGGTGAATGCAGCAGTTCTCCACTATGGATACTATGCAGTATGGGTGGTGAAAGCACAATGGCTGCAGCTGTGTGATTCTGCAACCAATGTCCCTTTACATTTAATGCTGTATATGCAGCCATGTTTATACAAGATCATTTTTTCATTTTGTTGACAATCAGAATCTGATAAAGATATACACACAGATACATATGAAAAGACAAAGAACATCTACTATAGGTGATTTTGACATGGCAGACTGCCAATATGGGCATCACTCCTGGCAAGCAGACTGAACTCAAGGAAAAATTGATCAAATAGGTTAGAAAACCTTGTCTGATTACTCCCACATCTAACAAAGTACACAAGAGTAAACCATGCATACAAGCTTATATGACAGCCATCTGGCAGATGACCCCTTAGATGATCTTCATTCCTGCATGTTTGAGCACCAGGGCTGTGCTGCCCATAAGGCCAATCTCAGGCAAAAGCCTCAAAGGCAGTACTCATATAGGACTGGTGGGGGTGACAAGGAGGCCAGAATATCAATGGTTGGATGTGCAGTTCTCCATGCAGCTCAGCAATGCTGAGCCTGGAAGAACCATGGTGGCTAGGGGGAGTTTTGCAGTAAAAAAGGGTGGATCCTTGGCATGGTTGAGTGACATATGTTAATAGAAAGCACGCTGAAAAACCACCATCATTATGTTCCCTTGTAGAAGAACAGCAGTACCAATTGATGAATCAGATTGAGGCAAGGATTTTATAACAATATTGCTTCCCACCCTGCACTGTACTGCTGCTTTAAATCTGAAGCCAGGTTTGGTTGGTATACCTAGGTTTAGAACATTTTATGGATTTGACAATGCAGGCAAAGTAAGGATCTGTCTGCAACTAAGATGGGGTAGTGTAAGGGCACAAATCACATTAATTCTCCTCATACTACATCACACTTTATTTGGCAGAGATCCCTTTTAACCACTTGCCGTCCAGAGGATTTACCCCCTGCCTGACCAGGCCATTTTTTGCAATACGGCGCTGCGTTGCTTTAACTGACAATTGCGAGGTCTTGCACTGCTGCACCTAAATTAAATTTATGTCCTATTTTACAACAAATAGAGCTTTCTTTCATGGGTATTTGATCAACTCCGCGGTTTTTATTTTTTGTGCTATAAACAAAAAAGCACTGACAATTTTGAGAAAACAACAGTATTTTTGACTTTTTGCTATTAAACATGTCCAGTAAAAAAATGTAAAAAAAATTAAATTTCTCCATAAATTTAGTCCAAAATGTATTCTGCTACGTGTTTGCTAAAACAAAATCCCAACACGTGCAAATTAATTGATTTAAGTGAAAGTTATAGCGTCTACAAATGGCGGTACATACTGGAATTTTATTTATTTTTTTTAAATACTAGTAATGGTGGCATACAGCAACTTATAGCGGGACTGCGATGGGCATTCTGACACGGGGAGGGGGGGGGGGGGGGTGAACTGCCAGTGACACTAATACAGTGATCAGTGCTAATAAAAAGCACTGACACTGTACTAATGACACTGGGCAGGAAGGGGTTAGCATCTGGGGCGATCAAAGGGTTAACTGTGTGCCGTTTTACTAACTGTGCTGTGTGTGTTTTACTGTGTAAGCTATGCAGAGCAATACAAAGCAGCAAAGATGGTGCTCACAGGGGAGAGAACCTTCCTGCTCTAAAGACTGATACCAGGATTATGGCTGCCGCCATGATTATGTTATAGTAACTTCCATCCAAGGACATATGGGTATGTCCTATGGGCTGGAACTAGTTAAAGGATTATTTTTTGGAAATAAAAAAAAAGGCTTCTCACAGTACAGAAAGAATAGCAAAAGAACATACTCATCATCGGGAGTAAGCTGAACAGGCTCATTAGTAAACTGTACATCAAAATTATCCAATCCATACTCTCCACAAATATTTGGCTTGAAAGGAGGGACCACTTGCTTTTGTTCCATCTGAAACAAAATAATAGTTTCCTTTAATATACAATATAGAATAAGTGCAAAAGTACAATATGTTTAAACAATAACTCCAGGAAGAATAAAGAAATGCAGGAAGGTTAAGAGTAATGTCTTAAATCTGAACTCCTGGAAAACAGCTACATAAACAGATAAAAAAACCATATATCAAAGCTATTTTACCTGCCGAATGACTTGTATTTCTGTCCATTCAGTTCTCAAATTTACACAGCTCAGCACTGCTGAGGGGGATTGGGGCAATGGAAGAGGATAAGTTTGGTGAAGGAACAGATCTCATTGAAGGTAAGTAACATCCCTTGTGCCGATATATTTATTGTTTTTGTTTTAGATACAGTGCTGCAATAGTTTGTCTTTTATATCTGCCTGGATATCAACTTTAAATTACAACTGCTGCATCTTTTGGATGAATCAGAGCTAAGAAAAGACCACTGGCTGCACAGCAGTACTGTTACCCAACACTTCTGGTGACAGTACAGTACAAAGAAACAGCAAAGTCACACTAAGACTGGATTCACATACAGGGGTTGGACCAAAAAAATGGAAACACTACATGATTTGCAGGTGTGAAAGTGACTACGTGTTTTGCGTTGAAAGCGAAAGTGATATAACATTCTTTTGCTTCCGCTGTGTGAGGAGACACCTAGATATCAGGTTCGAAGCCTCACTTTCGTCATTCACTGCATGTGCTGCTAGTAATACGGAGTCATCTTAGAGCTTACTGAGCTTCAAAGAGATCAAATTGTTGGTGCCCGCTTAGCTGGTTCCTCTCTGACTGACGTTCACAGTTTATTTGTTGTGTCACGAGGTACAGTATCAAAGGTAATGACAGATCCATTTTCAGGGAAAGAGTCGTCTGATAAGCATAAGCGCGGTCAACATGGTCAAATGACCGAAACGAAACCGATATTTCGCAGGATTGTGACCCAGAATAAGAAAACTGCTGCAAAAGTGACTGCAGAGTTCAATCCCAGTCTTCAAGGACAACACATCAGACGTCGTTTTCCCAGAAACTGTATAAGCCGTTCTTCATACACAAAGAGGAGGAAAATGTCTATACCTTGCCAAAATCTATCTATAAAACAGACTTCACTAATCTGTTTTCTTCTTTGTTGAAGTGAGGTGAGTACAACATGAAAACTTCCCAGAGCTAAAATTATTTTTCAGGGAAAATAATAGCAAAAGATCTAGTCCAGATTTCTGTGACGTGGCCGTTACATCTTGGTGTCAAAGACTGAATTAGTCTAACAAAACAGCCAAGCACTTACAAGGTCCCAATCAACATTACGAAAGAACTGATGTCCTTGAATATCAGCAAATCCTGTCTGTGGATGACAGCCAAGACGATCCTTTGGTTCCTGAACATAACAGCAAAGAAAGAGATAATTAATCAGCAATAGAGGAAGAACAAATAAGGCAAATAGACAATATGATATTTAATCATGTGGAGTGATAGGAATACATTTCTGAATGACTTATAAGTGTATAGATGTGACAAATACTCCCTTCCCTCTCTAATACCACAATTCATTTTTCTCATTGCTGCTAATAATGACGTTTTTGTTTCTGCTGTCAGGAGACAGCATTTCAAAGGGACAATTGAATAAAAATTACCAATCTGGGAGTTTCATAAACTGCTATTAAGGCAGAGACTCGTGAAAATAACCAGAATAAGAATAAAAAATATGGGGCAGTAGAACAAAATCACTGTTTTTAAATGTCAATGGAATACAATAAAAAAATAGATTTTTGTACTTAGATCAGGCTGTACTGCCTATTGTCTAGGCCTAGGATGTAAACAACTGACAAGGCTGGAATGTTCTGCCCAGCACAGTCCTTGGTACTCTTATTGCCGCTGCAAGACTTCTGGTTCCTCCCTGATGGCTAAAGTACACCATTATTGTGGCAGTGTCCAACTTAACCCAACAATGTTGTTTGGAAAATTGGATTTCTCTGCTGCCCACTTCCCATGCACCAAAAAGGTATCTTTCAGATGGCATATGTTGTTAGAATCTGTCAAGATAGTGGAAGGAAGGATATTTTCAAATCCACTGCAACATTATTGAGCCACCAGGCCAGGGATGACCTAGTTCTCTATGCCAGGAAAATCGGCTTGTTTAGAGACTGAGAGAGATTTATCCCATGACAACAGAATGTTGAGTGGAAGAGGTCTGGAGTGGAACTGAGCAAACAGAACTGCCTCAAACAAGGCTGCCATCATGCCCAGAATTCTCATGCAGGATCACACTCCAAGTGATGAGTCAACTCCAGCAGACTTCTAAAGATGTAGGATCCAACAAAACTTTAAGGTCTAGAATGTTCATATTAGGTTGTCAGAATCCGTGCTGAATGTTACCTCAATAAGTGGTTGCCCAAAAAAAACACATTCAAAATGCCATGGGAGACAGCTGGGCTAGCACAGGACCAATACCTTGAACACACTGAGTGTGGAAGACAGACCAGTTGGTAGGGCCAAAAACTGGTATCAAGTGTCTACAGCAAAAGAGAAATTGCACTGATGTGCCGGAAAGATGGGTACATGCAAGTACACATCCTTGATGTCCACAGAGGCTAGAAAGTCTCGATGATGGAAGAAGGATATTCCTAAGCTAATTGATTCCACGAAAAATGCTTAAACCCTAATGAAGACATTTAAGGCCTTTAGATCCAAGAGGTCTGGATACCTAATTTTGGTTTTGGAAATATGAATAGGTTGGAGTAAAAGCCCTAAATCCCTTCCAGCAATAACTCCTTGATCAAATGATCTGCTAGAACTGCACTGATGTCTGATAGTTTGTGCACAGACAAAAGCAGACTGGGTCCCATGAAGTGGGGAGGAGGCAGAGAGTGGAACATTAGCTTGTAGCATCTGTATCCACATCTCTTACCCAGGTATTCTAGATTCTGACCAGTTTGCGATTGGGATCCGACATGTTGCACTGCTTGATAAAGACAACAATTAAGACCAGCAGGTAAAAACCTTGGGTACTCACAAACCAGCTGCTGAATGCAATAGAAGATCAATGGTCAGAGGTGACAAGGTCACTTTAGGTGGCAACAAAGATTAACCAGGAAGTGCAAAACGTTTGCGCATATGACCAACGGCAAAAAGATGCTATACCTCACACAGAAAAGACAGGAATAGAGCCCAGGGTGCGCATGCTCAACACTTAAAGTGATTGTAAACCTCAGACATGAAAAATGAACAAAGCATATCCCTCTATAGTGTGTGCTTGTCTCAATTCAGAGCATGTGTCATTTCTATTGCTGCCTTGCTCCTCTGCTATCTGCATGAGTCAATACTTGCAAGTTTTCCTAACAGCATGAGAAAGATGATGACAGGGGAGGGCACAGCCTGTGATTGACAGCCTCAGCACTGTTCCTCCTGTGTGCTGTGTGAAGGGGTGTGTGTCCCTTCCCTCCAATAAGCTCTCAGAGCGCTCCTCACTAATGTAACTTCAGCTCCCCGCTCCCTACTTTCCAGAGCTAAGAGATCCTGTGTAAATTCTGCACTTTGAATGGATGTAGGGGAAAGATGGCTATAAACAGGTACAACTTATGTAGGATGATTTGTTTCATCTAGTATGTGTATCACCTGAGACCAGTCACTTCACTGGGAATATGTAACGGTTAACAACCACTTTAATCTAGCAATGAAGCACTTAATTCCTCAACATAATGACATTTTCTGTGGAGACAAAGGAAAAAACATGGTAATTTTGGCGCCCAGTGGCTATAATAAATACACAGAAGCTTTTGATGCTTGGCCCACATGGCCTACTCAAAGAAGTCTTCAGAGACTGGGTCACATCAGAAGCTGTCCATGGTTCTGGACCTGGAAAGCGTTCTGTTGTGAACAGTGCACAAAGTTCTGGAAAAGGCCAAAAGCAGAGCCCAGTTCTCAGAGTTCACATTCCAGCTAGATCATGCTATCATCCACTCCAGTGAGGGGTTGGGTAAGGTTCCAAAGCTACTGCTGAGTATATGTATATTTGGATACTAGCTAAATAGACCAACTCAAGCAGTGTGTAAAAGTAAAAAATTATCTTGAAAAGACAAGTCTAGTAATACTGAAACACTTTTCTCAAAAGAGATATGATGTCCATCCTAATACACTAACAAAAAAAAAAAAAAAAGGAATGCTAGCAGTGGGAGGGATTATACCAGACTAGTCACTGCTTTTTTTGTTGCCACTGTCCAAAGCCTCCTGTTGAAGGCAGTAAAACCGAACTGTCTCAGATTTCTGTGTCCTTTATTCAAAACTGTTGAAAAAAAATATTCTCGTTCATTAAAGTGGGAGGTGTATGAGCTCCTGTTGAGTATTTACTGCTATCTAGGGCTCCAGTGGAGAGTTACTTTCATTTTCTGTCTGGTTTACAACAATTTCGCCAGACATGAAGTGAAGTAAAACCTGACAGGGGTTTTAGCCTTCCTTTGCTCTACTAGAGACATGCATTTTTATTTCAATTTATGTTGCAGTTTGAGAGGTGCCCTCACTTTGGTAAAAAGTAATCAGTAGGACAGGAAGTAAGGGTAAATTTCTTGGAGCCCTGGATAACAGTGAACACCTAAAAGGGGTTCTAACAATTCACTACTACATTGAATTCTAAGAGTTTTGACTGGACACAGACCTTCACTACTTACATAGGCTGTATATAAATGGTTTGGACTTCAAGCGGTTAAAACAAACTGATCACTTTTAGAAGTGTTGACAAGGTTCCAAAAGGAACATGAGGGGACTGGGGCTCAGCAGCAATCTCCAACACTACCCAGATGTAAGAGCATTGCCTGACCAAAACAACCTAGAATTTCTGTGAACCAGAGAAACTTGATAGTTGTTAAAGTTATGTGCAGGTACCTCTGGGAGCCTGCACTTAACACCTGCAAGTAGCTTTCAGTATTCCTAAAGTGACAGTGACTCGCCCAGTCCATCTCCATTGATCAGTGGACCTTCACCTTCATTTTGAAATTCAAATATAAAATTAATTATGAAAGCTATTCACAAAGGTTTGCACACTTAACATTTCTGGTTACAAAGGCTCACCTTGTTAAGAAAGCTTTTAAGTACACTTGCAGCTTTTACAGACAAAGACCTTGGGATTCTGATTTGTTTCTCCAGAATGACTAGATGTTAAAATAGAACATACAAATTATGAATATGCTAAAATACCTTTTCAATGCCATGTATTAATTCCACTGTGTGTAATGTATTAAGTAGAAAACATCAACAAAACAATAAGTAGACTGCAAACATTAGAAATCTAAATAGGTTTTCATTGTTAATACTTCAAAAAGTTCATACTCTTGTACCTTGGAAGAGGAAATCCTCAGTGTTTTGGTCTGGATTGTCAGTGCTTCCTACAATATCAAATGGTGACCTTCCAGCCATCATCTCAAACATCAAGACGCCTAACGCCCACCAGTCCACACTGAAACCTTGGGGGGGAAAGAAAAAAAAAAATCAGCAATGCACATTTCCTTTAAACTGAAGTCTGTATTATGTGTATTGTATAGTTACAGTACATTGGTCCAATATGTACCAATGTAAATATGCATATCTCATACCTGGAGGACTGCTGTGGAAGCTAGAAATCACTGTGGTGGTAGATGCTACAGTACAGTGCTCACTGCAATCTCTTGAGTACTGTGATGTCACAGTCTTGCCTCTCTACCTCATCCAACCAAAAAATGCCTTGTATTTATAGAAAGAAAAAAAAAACAAAAACAAGGTGATCGGTTAAAGGCGGTGTTGCCTGTGGTGACTATATAAAAAGGAAGCCGCTCAACACAGGACCCAGAAAATTGCAGCGATCACTATAGTAGCAGAGACTACTACAGTGACTGTCAGTTTTACAAGTGGCCCTCAAGAATGCGATATGCATATTTACACTCATCCAAGTTGGACCAATGTAACTATGCAATAGAGATCATACTTTGACTTCAGATTTAATAGTCTACATAGAATCATTACTTATCTACATATGGGATTAAGTCATCACACAAAGGATAATAGGTGTAAACACTGGCACTTTTATCAAAAACATCCCTGCATAAGGGTGGCCATACATGGTCTGATCATAAAGGGAAATGCATGATTGGGGGAAATGTTTGCGACAATCTGTCAGGAATTGGATCATGTATGGCTTCCATAGGGAGTTATAAACACTTCTTATCTTTAGAACTGCTTGTCATTACATACACAGATTCCAACTTGTTCCAAAATCCTGTGAAGAAATAGAAGAAGTAAAGGCAACATAATCTAGAATAGATTGCCCAGACATGTAAACAGTTTTTTATATACCTTATATAGGATTTCAGATATCTAAGAGGATAAAATAAATTTCCATTTTATGAACCTAAACTACTTAGATGAAAGCGGATCACCATCCTTCCACACATGCACTGCTGGCAGACGTGGCTAAAAGTTCTTGGTGAGCACCAGTTAAGCAGCAAAATATTTGACCACCCACAGATACTTATTAGATACCTGTTTAACAAATGCCAGTTTTAAAGTGATTCTAAGTCTTAAAGTTTTTCTTTTATAATCAACATGTCATACTCACCTGCTGTATGCAATGGTTTGACACAGAGCCAGAGCAGCCCCGATCGTCATCTTCTGGAGTCCCCCGCTGGCGCTCTTGTCTCCTCCCCTTTGGCGAGTGCTGCTATAGGAAGCCACTTCCTATGGGGGTACTTGTGGGATCGATCCCAAGCCACACTGCCTGTGCCACAGGTCTCGGGCACAGTGTTGGATCAAAATCAGGTTTGTGTGTGTGTGTGCAAACATTTTACAATTACTTTAAAGAAAACCAGTCAATAGATGGCATTGTATAATACAGAATAGAGATTCAGTAACTCTGGTTATTGCTTTAACAGTGCAGCCTTATCCTTCCGAAATAACTCAGTAAAAATGCCAGCTCAGTGTCAGCAGCAGGTTAAAATGATCAATTAACCACACCTTCAACTTTCTTTGCTATATAGCACTTTTATTATATGACAGTTTTTGATTGTCTTGTATTAGTAGGAGATAGAAAGGCCTGTTAGCCTGACATTTCTGTCCTGATGGAAAAAGACCACAAGGGAATACTACAGCTAATCCCTGACAGGTAAAACTGTACTATTATAACAACTCAATAGTATAGTTAGATTGTTGCAGATGCTCATTTGTAACTAGTTCTCCATAGGCTATTTGTGGATATCTTAATGTGCCGCTCCAACAGGCAACATTTGCAAGTACCAATTACAGCAGAATGTGTTTAACATTGTGTTAGTTCTGCCCTGACATTCCTGTGCTTCACACAACCCTGTAACACTGCACAGTCATGATGGTGAAACCATCATTTATCATTGGAGCTTCCTGTGTTAGCTGCCTGCTCACTAGACTACACTATGGGTTAGTAGAATCAGAATGCCCTTTCCTTTGTCCTCATGTATGCTGTCTAAAAACCCACCCCATCCTTTATTTGCTAGAGCCTGAGAATATAGAAAGGATCCTATAGTCACAAGATGATAGTTTTCAACCTGTCCAAGTGACAATACCATGTTTGTGAGAAACCAGACACAACTTGCCTTCAACTATTGGTGGAACTAGGTATGAAAAGCCTGCATAGTGGCTATTTGTTTCCATTAAAAAACCTCTCCAGAAAGTATCTGCAGGCACCTCTCTGCTAATAGGACAGACATGCAGCTACTCATTTCATAATCATTTGTGAGAAGATAAAAGATCTCAAATAGCTATACTCATTTAGGAAACATTTCATTGACTTTTAATGATTTGATAAGTGGACCAAAGCGCTGATTATATTTGCCACCTTTAGAAGTATATAGTTAAAATAACCATGGGAGATGGTGTACTTTACATATTCCCTTAAGTTGGCTTTTTTCTCAAGCATTATATACAATGTGTTATTGAACACGTTCTTCATGCTGCAAGGCAAATAACTGGCAAAATTAATTTAGCTTCAGCTTGGGAGTTTTACAAATGACACTGGGCATTTATAAAACTGGCACAAGGTGAAGAGCAGGCAACTGCATTCTGGGTATTGTTAAAGGTAAATATACAGTTTATTACAATTTTATAGTTGTAGAAAAGCACAAAAAATGGTTTTCATCTTGCACTTATTTCCCAAATGCCCAAATTCATAAAGAGAGACCTAGCATTTATACACAACCATGAATCTGCAGCTGGTGCTACTAGTGAAAGACTACTACCAGAGTAAAAAGCATGCTCCCTGAAGCCTCTGACACCAGCTTACAGAATATAAGTAGTGACACAATGCTTTCTATCATCATTTAGAAAGACTGAGCTAATGGATTAAAAATGATTACCGTAATCTTCTCCCCGCAGGATTTCCGGAGCAATATAATTTGGTGTGCCACAGAACGTGCTTGTGGTATCTCCAGGCCGTAAGCCTTCCTTTAATAAACCAAATAGGATAGTCAGGAGAATCCTCTAGCATGCAATGTCCATCTATGTTCTATCTATTCACCAAATTTCTAATCAAACCTGGGCACTATCAGAAACAGAAGAGAGAAAAAGGACATTTGATCAGAAAACTGCTCTAGAGCAGCCTTTCTCAACCTCGGTGCCCAGGCACCCTGGTGTTCCTTCAGGCTTCTTCGGGGGGTGCCTTGGCAAAATGCCCACAAATTGTATACAAGCCAGCAGGTAGATCAATCCTGCCTTTTAGTACACAAAGTTACAGGTTTTCATGGTACACTTGTATGACCTTCTAGCTGCCTGCACCCTAACAACCAATGACATCATCAGTTGATAAGGAGGACATGGAGTGCATGGACATCATCCTTGTTTGCCCCTCTCTGTCTGCACTGGGGTCACACTAGCAGATTTATGGAGAGAAACAGTATGCAAAGGTGTATTTGCTTTGGAAGAATAAATCACCTCTAACGTTGGGTGTACTGGATGGGTTTAGAATAGTTTATTTTAAAGGGTGCCTTGAGATTATCCATAATTTGAAAGGGTGCCGTGACTGAAAAAAAGGTTGAGAAACACTGCTCTAGAGCAACCCCACAACTGCTGAATATTTTTGAACAACAAGAGGAAGTAATACTATGTACAGCAACTGGAACTCGCACACCTACAGACCTTCAACCTGATAACGTGAAGGTTTCAGCCAGGAAGAAGCGAAAATGTGTTTGCTTGTCTTGCATACATTATAATGAGATCAAAAGAGGAAAGGCATTAGCCAATGAAAAATGGGGGGGGGGGGGGGGGGGGAGTTAACGAAGACCTAGACCTATGTTAACAGTCTTTTTGTGATAACTATCACAATGAAATGACAAAAAGCTTTCTCCTTTGTGGTTCTCATGGGCTCGAATGTGAAAAATCTCTTCTACAGGGTACACACAGAGAATTTAAAATCTAGCAGAAGAAGATCTCTTCAGCTGAAACACAGACAATAAAAACATGATAACTCTAGTTAGCCCTTCTCTACTCAATTCAAAGTGAAAGAAATTTTGTCTTGAGCTGGACTTTAAGAAACTCAGAGGTCCTAAATTATTTCTTTATCTCAGCAGTCCTGTGTATTTAGCTTCAGGGTAAAGTCCTTCTATGTGCAATTTACTCTAAGATCTAGTTATAGTTGGGGTGGCTGCCATATTATTATTATTATTACATCGAGTTTATATAGCGCCAAAGGGTTTGCTCAGCGCTGTACAATAGGGGGGACAATACATGGCACAGTACAACAAGAACAGACAGCGTACAAGGGGTAAGAGGGCCCTACTCTTTCAAGCTTACAATCTAGGAGGGAGGGGGTAGTGGAACAATAGGAAGTGGCTGAGGGGGATGAAGTGGTGGGAGCAATGAGGGAGGATGGCCATTAGGTGAGGGTGGGGTAGGCTTCCCTGAAGAGATGGGTTTTGAGGGAGCGCCTGAATGTGGGGAGGGAATGCAACAGTCGGATGGATTGGGGCAGTGAGTTCCAGAGGATAGGGGAGGACCTGGAGAAGTCCTGCAGTCGTGCATGGGAGGAGGAGACCAGGATAGAAGGAGGTCCTGTGAGGAGCGAAGGGTACGGGTAGGGTGGTACTTGGGGATCAGGTTGGTGAGGTAGTCAGGGGCAGTGTTATGAACGGCTTTGTAGGTCAGGATTAGAAGTTTAAATTTGATGCGTTGGGCAATCGGGAGCCAGTGGAGGGAGAGGCAGAGGGGGGTTGCAGAGGTGGAGCGGGTGGTGAGGTGGATGAGTCTGGCCGCTGAGTTCAGGATGGTCTGGAGCGGGGAGAGCCTGCACTTGGGTAGGCCAATGAGAAGACAGTTGCAGTAGTCAAGGCGTGAGATGATGTGGGAGTGTACAAGAAGTTTGGTGGTGTCTGGGGTGAGGAAGGCACGTATCTTGGCAATATTGCGGAGATGGAGCCTGCAGGTGTTTGCAAGTGATTTGACATGAGGGAGGAAGGAGAGGTTCGAGTCAAGAATGACGCCAAGGACTTTGGCTTGCGGGGCGGGAATGATAGTGGTGTTGGTGGTGGTGATGGATAGGCTGGGGGGGGGGGGGGTGTGGGCAGGGGGAAAGACGAGGAGTTCGGTTTTGGAGAGGTTAAGCTTGAGGAAATGGAGCGACATGCAGTCTGAGATGTCGTTTAGGAGGTGAGTAATGCGGGCGGAGATAGTGGGGGTGAGGAGAGGGGTGGAGAGGTATTTGTTTAGGTTGCAAGATAGGCTGAGTGGACACATTCGATTCTTTCAGCTGTCACTATGCTTGCTGGGCTTCTGGTGTGTCCCTGCACTTTTGAGGAATTGACTGAATACCACTCCTTAAAGGCTAAGTGCACCTTCTGGGAAAAAAAGCACATATTTTTGCAGGAAAAAAAAAAAATACGCATTTATTATTTTTTTCCAAACTTTTTAGTGTGGCACTACCCGATACTTAGAATAAAAGTGCTAATTTTGTTCTAAGGCTCTGAAGTGCTATAAAACCGCTCCTGATGATGTCACGCCGACGAAACTAGTTGGGTGGAGCCTTTTGCCTACTTCCGGTCAGTGGAACGCAGGAGGTTCCTAGAACGAGTAAAGCGGGTTCGAAAGCTTTTTAATGCAAGTGCAATTCTGCTATTTGTGTGACGTTTTAATAAACAGTAATACACTATTGGAATTATGCTTTTTGGTTCTCTTGGATCAAAACTGGTAGAGTGGAGGAAGGAGATACGGGGACCCAAGAGAAATACTGAGAGAAAGTATGGATGAGCTGAAGGTTGACGTTATATCAAGCGCATATGACTCTCCTGTAAAAAAGGAGTCTTGGAGATTGGGGGGAGCACAAGTGTCATACAGAGGAATGCAACACTGAGTTATTCTAAAGAGCACTTTAAGTGGACTGCACAATAAGCAGTTTATTCAAGAAGTCACAAACTGTGGATGTCACAAATGTTTATAATTGCATAGACTTTGCACAGGAACACATGTAGTGTTTCAGAGGAAGGAGGTGTTTCATAGTACGTTGTACATCAGTTGCACTATTAGCGCACTTTTTTAATGTTTTATATACTGAAACTGTGGATGTCACAAATATTTGCCATTGCATAAATTCACACGGGAACACATTCAGTGTTTCTGTAGAGGGAGGCATTATATAGTACATTCTACACCAGTTGCACAATAAGTATTTTTTTCTCAGGATCAGTTACTGTGATGTCACAAATAATTATATAGATTTTACACAGGATTACATGGTATGCCAGCAGAGGGAGGTGTTTTATAGTTTGTTGCACATTAGTTGCATTTATTTTGAGGAGAATACACATGTAATGTATATATTTTAAGTTTGTAAATGATGCACTTAAGGGAGAAGTTTTATAGAACTTCAGAGGCTTAGCACAAAAATTAGCACTTTTATTTTAAGTATCGAGTAGTGCCACACTAAAAAGTTTGTAGTAGTTCTGGTATCTGTATCCATTGGAGGATATAAAAGAGTGGGAGGCAGCTACACTTTTGTAATCACTGGTCCATAAGCGCAGATAATACATTAGTAATTATTATTTTTTTCCCTCAGGAGTCTGCAAAGCATTGCACCCGTAATTACTGCTGCAATGTCAGGCTCCTGCAGAGAAGCCTTGCAGCTTCCAGCCTATACATCCTGTGAATGAACTACAGGAGCGCTCATCAGTGCCCTCACAGTTAATTGAGAACTACAAGCTATCAGCCACGGTGTATCAGCCACAGCCAACTGTACTTGTAGTTCTCTCGTTCACAGACCACTGTGAATAAAATGCTATTTTCTAAACGTGACAGCACGTGCAGGGAGAAGATCCCAAAATATGGGTGTAACATGATCAGAAACGTGAACTTATTTAATTTTTCAATTGCTATATATGCTCCAACATGAAGTCTTTCATAGACTAGAGTTAGGACAGCACTATACAGCAGAGTATTGATAAGGCAGTGCGGTCTTCCACATATATTTGTAAATGCTGTACAGCTAAAACCTCTATTTTTACATGAATCGTTAAGCAGTGTATTTTTTTTTATGGCTTTCTGGTAAGTGTGCTGAGAAATGCATTTTTTGTTTGCTTTGTGCAAATCCCTTTCCATGTGCAAATTTCTCCAAGCCAGTTTTAAATTTTGGGGGCTGTTACTTATGTTTAGCTTGCTTGAAAAGAAAACTGTCAAATTAGAAATATATAACCCCCTGCCATTCCAGCTTACATATTAGACAAAAAAAAGTTTAATAAGGGGAAAATAAACATTTTTTAACTTCCCAGCATATTGAAGAATCACATTTCTGCTCAAGGAACGCATGGTGACTGTTTCGATTTAAAGGAAGAAAGGCAGAAAGCAAAGCCGTTGAGAAATTCAGCATGAAAGATCAGCAAAGGCTGGAAGTCAAAGCAGTGCATAAGATGCGGATAACAAGAACAGCAGGGGATGTCAAGGTAGAAATACAGCAGAAAGTCCAGTACAAGGCTGCTGGAAAGACAGGGTGTTAAAGAAGTCACAAAAAGGAAAATCAAGGTCATAACCTAGCACTGGAACATTGGCGGTACGAAGCTAAAGGCTCATTGACAGGCAAAAAAGTGTTTCAATTAAAACAAAAGTGCAGTGCTCATGAATAACGAGATATAAATTGTGAACAGTAAATAATATGTGTAAAGTAAAAAAACAACATAAAAATCCAGTACATACAGTCCACTGTAAGGAAATGGGAAAATATCTGTGTATTGTTATAGGTCATAAGCTGCACTGCTTGACCCTCTGATGGACCCTCTATTATTGAGTGGTTAAATAAGTGTTTCTAAGTTAGGCAGCTCAACGCCTGGCTTCATTATTTGACCAGTTATAAAGACTCTATAGGCAACATTTATGGCCTGCTGAGTTATGTTGTAACAGAATAGAACAGTTCACAATTTACATAATGTGTTTGTTATTTTTCAGAGAGAACCAGCTATAACTATTTGAAGAATAATTATCGTCTTCTTCTAATGTAGTTTACTATCCCTAACTGAAAGCCCCTTTGGGTCTGTACCAGCTAGGAGGGATGGGTTCCTTGTCATTCGGCTGTGTATATTATTTGATATCCTGCTACTATTAATTGGACAGCATAAAGTCAGCCTCTGTTGGCTCACATTCACCAACTGCTGGCTACAAGTAATACATATGAAATATCTATATGTAATATTCCTTATTCACCGAATGAAAAGGTAATAATCACATTTCTTTTTGAACTTAATATATGAAAGAACAGTACACATAGCTAGATCACAACTCAAACTAAAGATCCAAAACTACCTGCCTGGAGTTTGCATGTTCTCCCTGTGCAGGTTTCCCCTGTGTATTTTGGTTTCCTCCAACACTCCAAAGACATGCTGGTATGTTAATTATCTCCTCTCTAAATTGGCCCTAGTATGTGTATGTATAAATGTGAGTTAGGGACCTTAGATTGTATGCTCCCTGAGGACAGTGACTGATGTAAATTATATAAAGAGCAGTGTAAATTGACGGCACTATATATGTTCCCATAATAATGAAACAACATTTTAAACCTTCTAGATTTCTATTCCAGTCAAATATATACACACAACCATGCAGACCTTAGACACATACACCATACAACTATCAAGTGATCTTCTATGTTTATCAAGAACCAGAAATTAGTCTGCAAAAGGAACAAGATAGTATTGTAGTGAAACATTTGGCAATTATCTTACACAAGGGAAAAATATTTCCTGATGGATGAAAAGCAATCAGATCTGTTCCTGGATCAATAATCTGTTAACCTACTCAAGTGTACAGATATAAACTGGCAGAGATGGCTTCTACTATCACACAGGGATGTTACCAATCTTCTCACATTTCAAGAATACAAAATAATAGAAAGATAATTTAAAATTGGACTTTCATGAGACGCTGTTATTCCAAAATCCCGGAAGAAAATGCATTCCATGCACAAATGCCACAATTTATAGTAGGTGTGTGCCTTATGAAGAAACATCTCTTCTTGTAGTGTATTCTGAGAAAGAATTTTTGTTTCATACACTACTGGGTATTTAATGGACCTTGACCTCGATCAGTCTATCTTTACCAGACTGTGTCACACGTGCATGGAAAATGACAAATCTGAATGAGCATGACAAAAATGAAGCCCTAATTCACACATATGCGGTTTTGAAGGGCAGTTATTTGCAGTACATTTGAAAAATAATGTATTTCTCTGGAGGTTGTTAACATGGTGGTGGAGATGCAGTGCACTTTAAAAAAGTACTGTGTGCCAGTTTGTAGCAGTGTGATCTGTTTGAGTTCCATAGTGTAATGAAAACCGCCAGTGAAACATATGTGTACAGGTATGATGAGATTTTAAGGCGGTTATACATGGGTGATTTCTCATACTGCTCCCACTGAGAGAAAAACAGCACAGCCACATGAGGAGAGCCATTCCCGAGGAGGAGGAGAGGATAGATGGATAGATGGGGGGGCTGTCAGCATGGGGCTATCCCCTCCTCTGCACTGTCTGGGGGCCCTGCCATGGCTGGAATACAGAGGACATAGAAGGGGGGGACAAGTCTGTGAGCAGGGGGAAGGAAATCCTGGCATGGAAGGGATCATACACTGGAGATCATATAGAGGGGGGAACATATAGAGATCACAGAGGAGAAAGAGAGAGACCAAAATCACATCAAAAACTGCATAGGTATTCATGGAGATCAGATTATGATCAGACATGAAACGGGATCCCTGAATCAAGCTCTGAAACTGTCTGACTTTGTCTGAATCTAGCCAAAAAGCAGTCATACAGAGGACACATTCACAAGCAGATGTTATCCTACAATCTTCTGTCCCACCCACCTAGTATTCATGTAAATAGCTATCAAAATTCTTCACTTCCAATATGCAACAGTTTACAGGAAGATTTCATCCAAGACCAACTTCCCAAGTCTAGATTAATCCTGCCCCCTCCTGGCACTAAGCTTCCCCCCTTGTCCTTCATCTGTAAAAGCCAGAACTGCAGCACTGGTGATGTCTTGAAATATTTTAAGCCAGGCTCACTTTAATATTGATCTGGAAAGATGTTGAGGTCATGTATACAGCTTGGGTCTTGAATCCATGATTCTGGACAGGCAAAAATTGAATTGATTTGAAAGAACTTTTAGGGCCTTCATACTGTATACAATACAATTAGCTTATATACCTTGATGAAACGACCACTTTCAATATTATTTCATTGAGCCCTGTAGATTTTAGCTGCCTTAATCAAGGAAACCTCAAACCAACTGTTTTGCGATAGGAGCCATTCTGTGGTTTCTATTTCCTTAGTGTTTGATCGGTGATGTAGTGCTTTGTTTGCCTGGAATGATTCTGAATAGGGCAGGCATTCGCTTCACTAGACAAACCCCATAAACCATTTTCCTCACCTTGCACATGCCATAGTCAGTAAGTTTTATGTGCCCTTCAGAATCCAATAAGACATTGTCCAGCTTTAAATCCCTATAAATAATTCCCCGCTCGTGGAGGTAGTTTAATGCCAGACTGATTTCTGCAGAGTAAAACCTGGAGGGAGAAAAGAATAAGTCTATTACACTCAGGGAATACGGGCTAGAAAGTAATAGCTGCAAAATAAATCCCACAATAATATGTGTATTCTGATTTGTAAATCTGATTTTTACTTAAAACCATAGACAAACAACGCAACTGCATTCTTTTCAACAATGATAGGCTGCTTACAATGCGTGTTTAGATAGCAGGAAATTCCATTTTTCCACAAGATGTTGCGCAGAGAATATGGAGTCTATTTATTAAAAATATTGCATAGCCATTCCTCCAGCAAATCTGCGTGCACATTTAGGACAAAAACAAATATTCTTTAGGCTATTTCTCCAGTGAGCAAATGTTTTTATTATGTGCAATAATAAAATACCTCATTGTGGCCACTAGATGGAGCCGAGGAGCATAGAAAATAAATACAAGAGATACAATTTTTACTAATACAATTCTAGAAAATAATAGAGAGAATTAGCAGATGAATTTTACCAATCGGTGAATTTGTGCCCCAATTTCCTCTAGAGTTCCCTAGAATTGTTACATTGCAACTCTTTTTACAAAGACATATATATTTCCCATGTTTCTTAGCTGCATCTAGTGGCTTTAATAAGGTATTTTACAACTTACATAGTAAAAGAACATTCATTCAGAAGGGAAAATAGCCTAAATAACATTCTGGCAAACACAGAATGAATATACATGCAGATTCTTGCTGCACAAACCAATATGAATGGCAATGTAGTAGAAAAACCAGATGAGGTTATGGTGGGGGTGAAAAAAAAAAAAAGTATTCCACTTCACCTATTGTGAAATGATAAAGGTCTGCTATTAAAGGTCCTTTTCAAATCTAAACTCACTGGTAAAGCATGTCATCCTGGTAAAGCCTTGTTAGCATCCTAGGACCTTTTTAGCATTCTCCCAATGCAAAGCAAGCAAGCATGAAAAAGCACACTGGACTACCGGAAAACATTTTTCTGAATTCTTCAACAACTTTCACTGGATAAAGAACCACATTAATAACATACTTGTGAGAACAAGCTATAATATAAGTGAGGTAACACAGAAGTCTGAACAATTAGTGAAAACTGTGGAAAAAGCACAGAAGTTGGCCTTCAGAATGAGAATCAGTCAAAATAGCAACTGGCTTGTATCTAACAGCTAGTTAATTAATGCCTGGGGTCGGAGCCTAAATGAATATTGCATGCCAAGTCCATGGATGCCAGAACCATCATTCTCCACAATGCATACCCCTGAGTATGTTGAAGCCAGATGGTGCAGGAACTCTGTAGCAGTGTGGAGTCTACATAATGGAAATGCTAGATATGTGTCCAACTAGCTAAAATATTAATATTTGTAAATAATACTTATCGCCTTAGTACAAACGGAACTTCCTTCATGACGTACATATTTGTTGCAGGTTGTGACACAGCAGATAAAAAGACATGTATACATGAAAAAACAATTGCAGTTCTTGCCAATAACAAACCTAGCATGTTCCTCTGGAAGCTTCCTTTGACGCTGCATATGAAACATCAAGTCACCACCATTTACATATTCAATAACAAAGAACAACCTGAAACAAAAACAAAAAAGACCTAAATGCATATAAAGGCACAATATGAAAAATACTACGGCTGATATCTAATACTCAATGGAACTCAATTCTACAGCCTAAAGGTTACTATGGGCAACTTTTCCATGCATTTCTGTTGTTCTTTTTTGGCAATTTAAATAAAATATCTGGGTGAACAGTATCTCTGTGCAATTATAACATTATTTGTAGAAACCAGTGACAGAGACCAGTGTAGATTTTCAGCATTTAACAAGCTAGTAAAGGCAACCTGATAATTGGGTATCTAATCAAAAGCTGAAAACAACATGTACGAATGTTCAATAATACATGGAAGACTCGAGCTGTCAACCTAATCAAATGAGCCTATGGTCTGAGAACACAAAGCATTTTTAAATATCATATCGTTTACATTTGTGAACAAAACAAGACATTGCTTGTAATGTTACTTTAATGCCAAGAATCACTATGTAGGCTAGCACACGAAGCAGTCAATTTATCCACCTCCACTTGCAGTCACAAACTATGTGATCACAGTGCAAATCAGCTCTAAGCCATATATCAACACAGCAGCGAGCAGACAGGAGCGGTGGTCTATATTTATTCAGTACATTATCTGCAGTAGGAGAAAGCCTCAGGTCAGCGAGAAGCTGTAGGTATTACCTGCTTTCTGTTTGGAAACAGGAGTGTAGGCCAACAAGGAAAGGGTGGTTTGAGGCTTGCTCAAACACATGTTTCTCTGTCTGAACCCAGTCAATATCCTAGACAAACACAAACAAAGAGAGATTAATGGTCCACGTGATAAAAAGTAAACAAGGCACAATAGTCACAGAATAGAAACCAATACAATCATGTACTGGGATATGACAACACCTAGATCCCTAAAGTCTATGAGAACCACAGACCAAATTACTCACTGGATTTTTCATTTCTTACTTTTCACCAAGATTGCAACAATAAAAATGTACCCAGTGGAATTCATGCCATGGTGTCTCACTCATTCGGCAACAGTAATCATTGTTTCAGTCTTTGTGTCAGATTCTCCATGATGTAAAGAAAATGAAAAATACAAATAAAAAAAGTAAGAGCTGCTACACGTGTGTGTGTCAACACGTGTTTTAATTTATTAAGGTGCACTAAGCTAAGGCAGGCCATGTATTACCTGATCCTCATCAATACCCTCTCCTTCAATCCTCGCCGGCTCTTCTCTACCTTCAACTCTCTACTCTCTCGACCCCCACCTCCACCCAGCACCTCACTCACCGCCCTCGAGTTTGCCAATCACTTAAAAAAAACAAGATTGACACAATTCGCAGGGACATCGCCGCTGCTCAAACTTCCTCCCCACCTATCTCCTCTCACACAGCAACCCCCTCATCACCCCTCCCTCGGCCTCACCACTGTTCAGACCTCCACCCCACCTAACATCCCTCACGCTGAAGCCCCCTCAACACTCCACTCTCTTCGACCTTACTACTACTGAGGAGGTCACCAAGGTCTTCTCTGAAGCCCACCTCACCACCTGCCCCCTCGACCCTGTCCCCACACAACTCCTACGACCTCCCTCCTCCTCCATCCTACACTCCCTCTCTTCTGGCGCATTCCCCTCCCCTCTGAAGCACACGCACATCACTCCCATACTTAAAAAGCCCTCCCTGGACCCTGCTGACCCGAACAACCTTAGACCCATCTCCCTGCTGCCATTCACATCCAAACTCCTTGAGCGCTTAGTGTACAATTGCCTAAGCTCCCACCTCAACGACAACAACCTCCTCGACCCCCTACAGCCCGGCTTCAGTCCCCTACACTCTACCGAAACTGCCTTACTCAAACTCTCCAACGACCTGCTAACCGCCAAAGCTAATGGCCACTATTCAGTCCTCCTACTCCTCGACCTCTCCGTGGCTTTCGACACAGTCGACCACCCCCTCCTCCTCAAAAAACTACACTCCCTTGCCCTCAGAGACTCCGCTCTCTCCCGGCTCTCGTCCTACCTATCACAAAGCTCCTTTCAGTGTTACCTATAATGCTACCACCTACCCCTCACTCCCCCTCTCTGTTGGGGTCCCTGAAGGCTCTGTCCTCGGGCCCCTTCTCTTCTCCATCTATACCTCCTCCCTTGGCCAACTGATACACTCTCACGGCTTCAACTACCACCTCTATGCCGACAATACGCAAATCTATCTCTCGACCCCTCACCTCACCCCCTCAGTCTCCGCCCGAATCACAAGCCTACTGAACGACATATCAGATTGGATGTCGCTCCACTTCCTTAAACTGAACCTCTCCAAAACAGAGCTCCTAGTTTTCCCCCCAGCCCGCGCACCCCCCCCCTACTGACTTCTCCATCACGTCCAACAATGCCACCATCAGGCCCACCCCGCAAGCCAGAGTACTTGGTGTCATTCTTGACTCCAATCTATCCTTCCAGCCCCAAGTCCAATCGCTAACAAACTCATGCAGACTCCACCTCCGCAACATCGCCAAAATACGCCCATTCCTAACCCCAGAAACCACTAAGCAGGTCATCCACTCCCTCATCATATCACGACTCGATTACTGCAACTACCTCCTCACTGGCCTGCCTCGCCACAGGCTATCCCCACTTCAGTCAATCCTGAATACGGCGGTCAGACTCATCCACCTTACCAACTGCTCCGTTTCCGCCACCCCCCCTCTGCCAATCCCTCCACTGGCTTCCAATTGCCCAACGGATCAAATTCAAAATGCTAACACTGATGTACAAAGCTGTCCATAATACTGCCCCAAACTACATCACCGACCTAATATCCAATTACCACCGAAAACGCACTCTCCGCTCCTCACAAGACCTCCTTCTCTCTAGTTCCCTGGTCTCCTCCTCCCATGCCCACCTCCAGGACTTCTCCAGGGCATCACCAATCCTCTGGAACTCCCTACCCCAATCCATCAGACTATCAACTACTCTCTTCTCCTTTAGGCGCACCCTGAAAACCCACCTCTTCAGGGAAGCCTACCCCGCCCCCTGCTAATTGCCGATCTCCTCCACTCTTCCTACCACTCCATCCCCCACAGCTTTTCCTCCTGTACCACTATCCCCTCCCTCCTAGATTGTAAGCTCTAAGGAGCAGGGCCCTCGAACCCCTCGTGTATCGCATTGTATTATTATTGTACTGTCTCTTGTATTGTCTCCCATTGTAATGTACAGCGCTGAGCGAACTGTTGGCGCTTTATAAACACTGTATAATAATAATAATTGTAAGGTCTAACAAGCAGGGCCTTTGGATTCCTACTGTATTTATTTGTGTTTTAACTGTACTGTTGGCACTCATATTTTAAAGTGCTGCATAAATTGTTGGCGCTATATAAATCCTGTATAATAATAATAATTCACTTTGAAAAGGCTGGAAGCACTTTCTAAAATCCAAAAAATGCGACTGCAGCATTTTCTTCTATGCAGAATACCATATGCATTGTAGTATGATTTTCTGCATGTACTTACAACAGCTACTGTACATGTGCATTGGAGTGCTGTTCCAAATGAATGGCACTACAAAGCAATGCGCATAGTAGAATGTGTTTCAGTAACAAACAGTAAAACATGCATTACTGAAACACATAGGTGTAAATACAGCCTAAGTGTCCATCGTAATGGCCATAGCAAGTTAATGGAGGTAAATATTTAGGCACAGGCATTTTATCAATGGGCTACTGGCATTGATAAAGACAAAATATCTTTTTCAGGTAGTTTGGCTCTTTACAGAGTCAAAGAGAATTTACAACTGTCCTCACTATGATTTTCCAAAGTGAGAATGCAGTCATGTACTGCGGTTGACCTACTAAAAATTAATAAAAGCCGTTTACCTAGGAAAGTAAATGTCCACTTTCGAAAGTGTATATTCATGTGGCAAAGCTACAGTCAGTTTGATTGCAATTTGCAAATAAAGAAAAAAAATGAATGTAATGTTTAGGTAGACCCTTGTACTATGCAGCCAGTGATAAATCTAAAGTAGATTTTACAATCATACTGTGACGTGTGACTATTTTACTAAATTCATAGACTAATTACCAATAACAAAGCTTTTTATATATATATATATATATATATATATATATATATATATATATATATATATATATATATATATATATATATATATATATATATATATATATATGTAGATATAGACACACACATGCACACAATTAGGTCCATATATGTTTGGACACAGGCACAATTTTTAGTTTTTCAGGTATTTACCAAAATATATTCAAGCTATAGTTATATAATGGATATGGGCTGAAAGTGCACACTCTCTGGTTTAATTTGAGGGTATGTACATCCAAATTGGAGGAAGGGTTTAGGAATTACAGCTCTTAAGAGTAGCCAGTAGCCATCCCACCTTTTTCAAGGGACCAAAAGTAACTGGACAATTGAATATAATCATAAATAAAATGTTCATTTTTAATATTTTGTTGAAAATTCTTCACTGCAAATGACTGCCTGCAGTCTGGAACCCATGGACATTACCAAAGACTGGGTTTCCTCCTTTCTGATGCTTTGCCAGGCTCTAACTGCAGCTGTCTTCAGTTGTTCTTTGTTTGTGGGTCTTTCCGCCTTTAGTTTTGCCTTCAGCAAGTAAAATGCATGCTCAATTGGGTTGAGATCAGGTGATTTGACTCAGCCATTGCAGAATATTCCACTTCTTTTCCTTCAAAAGCTCCTGGGTTGCTTTTGCAGTGTATTTTGGATCATTGCCCATCTTACTGTGAAGCACCGTCCAATCAACTTTGCTGCATTTGGCTGAATCTGGGCTGACAATATATCTCTAAACACTGCAGAATTCATCCGACTGCTTCTGTCTTCTCTCACATCATCAATAAACACGAATGACCCAGTGCCACTGGAAGCCCATGCCATCACACTGCCTCCACCATGTTTTACAGATGACGTTGTGTGCTTTGGATCATGAGCTGTTCCAAGCTTTCTCCACATTTTTTTCTTCCCGTCATTCTGGTACAGATTAATCTTCGTTTCATCCGTCCAAAGAATGCTTTTCCAGAACTGGTCTGGCTTTTTTAGATTTTTTTTTTTGGCAAAGTCTAATCTGGCTTCTCTATTCTTCAGGCTTATGAATGGTTTGCACCTTGTGGTGAACCCTCTGTATTTGCTCTCGTGAAGTCTTCTCTTGATTGTAGACTTTGACAATGATTCGCCCACCTCCTGAAGAGTGTCCTTCACTCGTCTGGATGTTGGGTTTTTCTTTACCAGAGAGAGGATCCTGCGATCATCCACCATTGTGGATGTCCATGCCTTTTTATGTTGCTGAACTATTTAATGAATAATTAGACTCACCTGTAGTTAAATTCTTGTTAATTAGGATTTTGTTGTCTAAAATGTAGCTTTGCTCCTAAGACTTTCATGGGGTGTATTCATTTTTGCAACATGGTCTTGAAAGAATTTGTTAGGAAAAATACTTTTTTGTGTGTGCAAATTAACAAATCTTGTTTGCAATCAATGGCCCGCATTTGTGGAAGTATTTTGTAGTATAGTGTCCCATAGAAAATGTTAACTTCAGAAAGGAAAGTAAAAGGTTCTCTGACAAATCTGTTGGGGTGTACTCATTTATGAGGAGCACCGCATTATATATATTGGTGCAGCAAAAGATTCTTTCTGGCACCTGGTGCAGTAAAAGCTTCTTTCTGGCACCTCGACTAAACAGCTCATTTTTGTTCAAGTATCACCGTATTGTACTCCTTAAAAACAACCACATCATCTTTTTTCCAGAGGAGCCTGTAGTTCTTTGAGGTTGCCTGTGGGTTTTTCTTTGAATCCCGGCCAATTGTTCTGTCAGTTATTGCTGCAATCTTTCTTGGTCTACCTGACCTTGGCATCAAGAGATCCCCGAAGTTTCCACTTCTTAATAGGTGATTTAACAGTACTGATTGGCATATTCAAGGCTTTGGACATCTTTTTATGTCCTTTTCCATCTTTATAAAGTTCTGTTACGCAGAACTTTTGACAGTTCTTTTCTGATCCCCATGGCTCAGTATCTAGCCTAGTCAGTGCTTCCACGTAAGAGCTAACAAACTCATTGACTATTTATGCACTGACACTAAGTGCAATTTAAAAAGCAACAGATGTGGGACATTAACCTCCAATTGCCATTTTAACCAGTGTGCGTCACCTTGTGTGTCTGTACTAAGGCCAAACATTCCAGGGTATGTAAACTTTCAAGCAAAGGCCATCTAGGTGATTTCTGTTATTATGATTTAAAAAAGAGCCAAAACAACTATTTGACAATAAATGGCTTCATATGATCATCATCCTTCAATAAAAGAGCATTTTTTGGCATGAGCAGTCATATTTTCAATATCAATGCCAAAATTTCACAATTTCTGTCAGGGTATGCAAACTTTTGAGCCCAACTGTATATGTTTAAAGTAATTAAGAGAGCTGGAAGGCTGAATTAATAAATTTGACACTTATATGAACCACTCTAACAAGGAAATGTGCATTATAGCAGGCTTAAAGAATACTTGAGGAGAGAGACAAGAGGAGCAGTTTATTGGAATAGCTAGCCCAAGATTAAATCAGGTTTATCAATTTTTATAGCCAGCTCCACTGGCTCTTAATAAAACTCCTAGGTTTTATTAAGCATTAACAATTTGTATATTAAAAACGTGTATACACATCTAGGACTGACATCTCTGGAATGAGTGAGTAAACCCTTTTCTCTGACTTCTGAAGCTTCAAATTTTTTGGAGGTGCCAATTTCAAAGCAATAGATTATGGAGGCAATTATAAATTTGCCTATAGCGACACCTGACCTCACCCACCTGACCCACACGGCTGCTATGGGAAGCAAGGGAGGATCCTATTAGGGAGGTTGTTGAAGGCAAATGTAACTGCATTTTCCAGTCTAGAAGAGTGGATGTCATATGTTGAGCAGTATAGAATTATTGCTCTTAGAACCTTTCCTACAAATCCTGGACTATAATTAATCCAAGGATCTGAAAAACTGGGGAGATACAGTTAGCTGGAAAATTAGGTTTAAGGCTGGGTTCGCACCCAAGCATAGCAGGAACCTGCATTCTCCCTTGTGGTTTTTTTTGTATGTTTAAGAGCATTTCTGTGTGCTACACATGAAGCAGCCCATTTACTTTATTGGGATGCCCTAAGTGCAACAAACGCCCCAGAGAAGCTCCAAAATCGTATTTTTTCACTGCGTGTTTGGTGCATTTTCTGCATGAAAAAACACATTGGGAAACATGTGGCTGCTACCCAGACTTGGGGTGCCATTTGTAATGGTCGTGTGTACTGGACACGAATAGCTGTGTGTGTACCAGCCATGTTGTTCCTTATTCAGCCAATACATTTTACTTGTCACTATCTTTTCTGTGTTTTACCAAAGACACAGCTGTAGTGACCTTCCCGCTCCCTCCTACTTCAAGTCATGGAATCCACAACTGTTAACTGATGCCAGGACCTACTTATCAGTCCATTTATTGGACAAACTGGCCCTTTCCATTAACCAATCCACATTTCCATCTGGAAACCCTAATAAAACCTTCACCCTTGCAAGCTTGAGTGACTGGAGTGTTACCAGACATTTTCAGCTCTTCCCCTATTGTAAATACTGTAGCATTGCCCATTTCTGACTGTTTATCAGTCAACACTCAAAAACTTCAGTATAATTCCTAACTTTTGAAATACTGACATCCCAGCAACCACCTCTTAGAATGGATGATTGGTCAAATGGTCTCTGCTAACACCCCCCTTGATGTGAAGAAAAGTGGAATGGCACCACATTTTGACAGCTCTCGTTTAACATCAAACCAAGGAAAAACTTGGGGGGAAAATCTGGCAGGGGCTGCAGGATCGGGAACATGTTACACCCTAAAAAGCGGTGGGACATGTAATACGCTCCCAATGGTGAAATTATCCTTTAACCACTTCAATACCGGGTACTTTTACCCCCTTCCTGCCCAGGCCAATTTTCAGGTTTCAGCTCTCTCACACTTTGAATGACAATTGCACGGTACACTGTACCCAAACTAAAATTTTATCATTTTGTTCACACAAATAGAGCTTTCTTTTGGTGGTATTTAATTTTTTGCTAAATTAACAAAAAAATAGACTGAAAATTTTGAAAAAAAAAAAAAAAAAAAACCACGATTTTCTGTTTCTGTTATAAAAGTTTGCAAATAAATAATTATTCTTCATAAATTTAGGCCAAGATATATTCTGCTACATTCTTTGGTGAAAATAATCCAAATCAGTATTTATTATTTAGTCTGTAGGAAAGTTATAGAGTTCACAAACTATGGGATATATCTGAAAATTGATCAATCCTGAAGCACTGACGGCCAATCTAATTTCTTGAGGCCCAAAAATGTCAGAACAGTACAGATATCCCCCAAATGACAGTCCGAAGTATTTCATAAGAGGCATGGCAAGTTTTTTTTGAAGTTGGAATTTTGTCATAATTTTTCGAAAAAAATTCGATTCATTCAGGTTTTTTTTTGTTGTGATTAGCTATTAGTGGCCACAGCTAATCACATGACACAGATGGGCTGTGATTGGCCCAGCCTGTGCATGTGATCGCTGTGACCATTCACAGCTAGACAAACTTGTATACAATGGATGGCATGAAAGGTAGCCATCCATTGTATTCAACTGTCATGTGACCTGCTGTATTGGTGACAGCAGGTCACATGGTAATGGCAAACTGGGCCTGTACACAGATCTGTCATCGGCTGTGTCCGAGGTACAAGGCTGATGACAGATCTCGCCACAGCGCGGCCCTGCGGGCACGCACAGAGCACGATCCGGGAAGGCCGCCATATGGTGTCCTCCCGGAGGGACGAAGTGTTAGCCTATGGCCAAATGGCGACCGGGTGGGGCGGAAACTGGTTAAGTATTCTCACCCTCAACTTTTTTTTTTCTCTACTGCATTATCGTCTCTTTCCTACTTTGTAATACCTTTGCTCTTTTTATTGTAAATATTTTACTTGCACAGTTTAAATAATAAACCTATTTTGAAAAGTGTTGAAATTGTCTTCAAGGTTCTGATGCAAACTAAAAGAATCCTCGTCTCTTGAAGAGCGCTACGGAATATGATAAATCTCTGAATATACAGGTCTGTGGTGACAGTGTATGTACAGACATTTATTTCAAAATCCTGTTATTGCTAATCTTGTGGAAGTTTCCCACTGTTCGATAAAAGTAGGTGGAGGCAGTATAAAGAGTTAATTGATTAGTTAACTAAACCCAGTAACAATCACTTTGTCTGTTGGCACCTAGATTGTAGGTCCCGCAAGCTGGAAAGTCTTTGTGCAGTGTGGGGCTGAGAGTGCCATTGTTGCATAAGTGACAGCGTGGTGGTGTGAGGTAGACCCAGTCTTTTGTCATAGGTTGGTGAAAAGACATCCGTGTTCGTCACAATATTAACAATTAATGCCACCGCAAGCACAATGTACATTTGCAACAAAGTTCCAAAACCTGCATATTCTGTGCAGTTTATTGCACATTCCGTAAAACGTCAAGTGTAAATGGAGCCTAAAAGTAAATTTCCTGTAGTGGTGCTTCTATTATAAACGTCTATCCACCACACTACTTGACACTCTTAAGGTCCCCCATAGACAGCTTGAATTTCAGCTCATTCCTACTAAAATCGGCCAAAAAATTCAGGTGCCATGCATGCTGCTGTTAGATTAGATGGCGAAATAAAGTGATTTTTCCTCTGTCTCTTGTGGGCTTAAAGGTCAAAATCGGAAATACCTACACACAGCCTTACTATGTTGACAATAGTTGTCCTTAGTTAGGCATACTTCATGTTTAGATTAGTGACATGTATTGTTGATATTGCCAGGTACCACAGAGAGTTGATTAGGGGATGGGGTTCTTCAAAATGTTGCTATGGGGCCCTTATGATCTCTAGCCACACTCCTGCCCGACTTTTCTGGGCTACTGCAGAGTTTATGTAAATGCTAAACCACCTTCCTAAATCCTTGTATAATGCTCATTTTTAAAGTAAACTTTGAAGTGAAAATAAAACCGGGTTAAAGACCTCAGGTTTTTCCTAAGGGCCAATTTCTTTAATAAAATAGATGCAAAAATGATTGCCAAAATGTTTGAATCTTTATTTATGCAAAATAATGACAATAATAAAAAAAGATATCCTATATGCCTTTGGTACCATCAAATAAATAAAAACCTTGCATCCTCTGAACCATAGAATCACAATTAACCCAGATTAAGGCAAAAACAAATCCAACAACAATCGATCATATAAAGCGGGATCCAGTTTTCATATTTTTGCCTGATCCTCACAGGTATTTGAATATTCCCTTTATCAGCATTTTACAGTGCCACTTCTTAAAAATGTCCTTAATAGCCAGTTATATTTGTGTTTAGAAATGTTGCTGGCCCTGAAGCAATCTACAAAAACCTAGGCCTAGGCTCCCATGGAAGTCTATTCTACATTTTATCAGCTAGAACTGTAACGAAACCTTTCATATGGAGGTTGAACCTTTCCCTCCAGGCACAGTGTTCCCTTTATAGCTATTGTTTTGATAGAATATGGATAGGTTATAACTCCTGTTGGGTTATGTTGCTGGACGTATTTTGTCCTGAGCACTTTTCCCAAGATTTGGAACTATTAGCGTAAGTGCCTGGAGTTCTGCTTCAAACCTTTAAGAATACAAGCACATGTAATGTTACAGTATATTCCCTAAAACTGAGAAGACAAATGACTAACTTTAGCAGCTGCTTACCTCATCGTCATTGACCAATTCTTTTTTGACAACTTTCATTGCATAGATGCGTTCTGTCTTCTTTAACCTCACCAGCAGTACTTTGGCATAGCTACCTCTTCCAATAACTCTGAGTAAGTCAAAATCCTGCAGACCCAGGCTGGAGGGGGGTTTACCACTCTCCCGGCTGTTTCTTGCCTGCAGAGAGATCAAATTCAAAAGGAACAGATGAAAGCTATCATTTCATGTATAATAAATCCTGTATAATAATTTCATGTTACAGCAGCATTTTGTAGCGATTGACATTGTGTTCAGCAGTAAGACAAGGAGAGGATGACTCAAGAACAATACTATTCATGAAAAAATACTGCTTAAAGAGGACAGCTTTCCAGCAATTCACCACACAATGCTTTACTGTAAGAAAAGAAAGCTATCCATGTCTGAAGCTAAAGAGAACAACGCAAATTTTCTGTGTTCATACAATGAAGGAAATACATTCAATTTACTACTTTGAAGGCATGAGCACATCAAGTGCCAGAAGAGTTTGAAATGGTGAACATGCTCATGAAAACAAGAACATTGGTGAAGCTGCCACCCATAGCAACCAATATGGTTTGATTTCAAATTAAAGAGGGAATCAGATTGGTTGGTTGGGATAGCTGACAGGTCCACCTTTCACCAGTTTTCACATATTTTAGCCAATTAATCACTTTTCATGTAACTCTAAGGAACCAAGTGGCTTTCCTTCGAATAGCTACAATCTTCAATATTAAATGTATGTTGGGTAAAAAGCTCCAATGACTCAAATCCTACTATAACAAACTCTACATTTAATGTGGTTCTAAAGGCTCAGCGTTTCACACCTTCTGTGTGTAGCGACCCCCCTAGCACCCCCCCCCCCCCCCATTCTTACCCTTCAATCCAGCAGTGCTCACAATAGCCTTGGCTTTATGGGGTAACTCTTTGTTTTAATGTTCCTCCTCATTGCCCAGAGTGAGCCAGTGAGGAACCAATCACAGCCAGTGAGAAAATGAGGAGAGAGAGGTGGGTGGGGCCAAGCCGGAGCTCTATGTGTCTTATGGATGCATGAAGCAGCCAGAGCGCTGGTGGGGGACCCAAAAGGAAGAGGAAAGGGGCAGCTGTGTGCAAATCTACTAGTGCACAGAGCAGGTAAGTATAACAGCATGTTTGTTTTAATTTAAAAAAAATTTTTTTTGACTTTAGTATCACTTTAATGTAAAAAGTGTAACCGAGACTGTGGACTTTGTTTAATGTTCTACTACCACAATTGAGTCATTGACAATCAGACTGTTCTAATTCACTCAGCCACTTATGTTGTGGGTTCTAAAGATGAGAAGATGAGAGGAAACATTTCTTCCTTTATCCAGGAGACAATTCAAAGCAGACACAGACCCTCAAGTCATGGTCATATGTTGCGCACTTTGATCTATACTGAAGGGGGCTGGTTCTCAAAATGGCACTCAGGAAAAAACACTAAACTATCAACAGTTCTGCCTGAGTTTACAACAACATCCCAGCCTTTAGCTGAGCATTGTGATTATTACATAACAGTAATGTTTTTGTTAATGCAGGAATATATTTTGAAAAACGTCTGATAGTGTTTGTGTGTAGCAATGGGCAAAAGGAGATACAGTTAGGTCCATACATATTTGGACACAGGCACAATTTTTGTTTTTCAGGTATATTTACCAAAATATATTCAAGCCATAGTTATATAATGGATGTGGGCTGAAAGTGTACACTCTCAGGTTTAATTTGTGGGTATTTACATCCAAATTGGAGGGTTTAGGAATTACAGCTCTTAAGAGTAGCCAACCCCCCTTTTTCAAGGGACCAAAAGTAATTGGACAATTGAATCAAAAGCTGTTTTATGGCCAGATGTGGGATATTTCATTATTTCTTCATCAATTAAGCAGGTAAAAGGTCTGGAGTTGATTCTAAGTGTGGTATTTGCATTTGGAATCTGTTGCTGTGAACCTACATCATGCGTTTAAAGAAGATGTCCATGCAAGTGAAACAGGCCATTGTAAGGCTTCAAAAACGAAACCAAAACTAACAGGGAGATAGCAGCAAAAACAGTTTGGTACATTCTGAGGAAAAAATGTACTGGTGAGCTCAGCAACATAAAAAGGCATGGCCGTACATGGAAGACAAGAGTGGTGGATGATCGCAGGATCCTCTCTATGGTAAAGAAAACCACATTAACAACGTCCAGACAGGTGAAGGACACTCTCCAGGAGGTGGGCGTATCATCGTCAAAGTCTACAATCAAGAGAAGATTTCACGAGAGCAAATACAGATGGTTCACCACAAGGTGCAAACCACTCATAAGCATGAAGAATAGAAAAGCCAGATTAGACTTTGCCAAACAAATCATCTAAAAAAGCCAGACCAGTTCTGGAAAAGCATTCTTTGGACGGATGAAACAAAGACTAATCTGTACCAGAATGACGGGAAGAAAAAAGTGTGGAGAAGACTTGGAACAGCTCATGATCCAAAGCACACAACATCATTTGTAAAACATGGTGGAGGCAGTGTGATGGCATGGGTATGCATGGCTTCCAGTGGCACTGGGTCATTGGTGTTTATTGATGTGACAGAAGACAGAAGCAGCTGGATGAATTCTGTAGTATTTAGAGATATATTGTCAGCCCAGATTCAGCCAAATGCAGCAAAGTTGATTGGACGGCGCTTCACAGTACAGATGGACAATGATCCAATACACACTGCAAAAGCAACCCAGGAGCTTTTGAAGGAAAAGAAGTGGAATATTCTGCAATGGCCGAGTCAATCACCTGATCTCAACCCAATTGAGCATGCATTTCACTTGCTGAAGGCAGAAAGACCCACAAAGAACAACAGAAGACAGCTGCAGTTAGAGCCTTGCAAAGCATCAGAAAGGAGGAAACTCAGTCTCTGGTAATATCCATGGGTTCCAGACTTCAGGCAGTCACTGCCAGTAAAGGATTCTCAACACAATTGGAAAATGGAATGTATAAAAATGGTTGCAGTTCCTAAAATTTGTACTTGATATGTATGTTCAACCCCTTGAATTAGAGCTGAAAGTCTACACTTCAAATTAATTTGTATTGTTTTGGTTTAATTTATTCTGATGGCCTACAGAGCCAAAAGTATGAAAACTGTGCAAGAAAAAGTATGTGAACCCCTTGGGATTACGTGGAGTTTTGCATGAATTGGGCATAAAACGTGCTCTAAACATCATCTAAGTCACAATAGAAGAACACAGTCTGCTGAACATAATACTACACAAACATTAGATGTTGCCATGGTTTAATTGCACATAACATGTAAACATTCACAGTGCAGGGAGGAAAAAGTATGCGAGGCCTTAGCTTAATGACTTCTCCCAGAGCTAATTGGAGCCAGGAGTGAGCCAACCTTGACTCCAATTAGTGTGATGATATTGGATGTGTTGCTGACAGCTGTCCTGCCCTTAAAAAACACACACCTGTTTTGGGTTTACTGGTTTCAAGAAGCACGGTCTGATGTGAACCATGCCTTGCAAAAAAGAGCTCTCAGAAGACCTACGATCAAGAATTGTTGACTTGCATGAAGCTGGAAAGGGCTACAAAAGTATCTCCAAAAGCCTTGATGTTCATGTGTCCACGGTAAGACAGACTGTCTACAAATGGAGAAAGTTTAGCACTGTTGCTACTCTCCCTAGGCGTGGTCATCCTGTAAAAATGACTGCAAGAGCACAGCGCAGAATGCTGCATGAGGTAAATAAGAATCCCAGAGTGTCAGCTAAAGACCTACAGAAATCTCTGGCACATGCTAACATTTTTGTTGACACATCTACAATAAGGAAAACATTAAACAAGAATGGAGTACATGGGAGGACACCACGGAGGAAGCCATTGCTGTCCAAAAAGAATATTGCACCACGTTTGAAGTTTGCAAAAGAGCACCTGGATATTCCACAGCACTACTGGCAAAATATACTGTGGACAGATGAAACCAAGATTGAGTTGTTTGGGAAGAACACACAACACTATGTGTGGAGAAAAAAAGGCACAGCACACCAACATCAAAACCTCATCCCCACTGTAAAACATGGCGGAGGGAGCATCATGGTTTGGGGCTGCTTTGCTGCCTCAGGGCCTGGACGGATTGTTGTCATTGATGGGAAAAAGAATTCCAGAGTTTATCAAGACATTTTGCAGGAAAACGTACGACCATCTGTCCGCCAACTGAAGCTCCGCAGAGGATGGGTGATGCAACAGGACAATGACCCAAAGCATACAAGTAATTCAACAAAACAATGGCTGCAACAGCACAGAATACGCCTTCTGGAGTGGCCCAGTCAGAGTCCTGACCTCAACCCGATTGAAATGCTGTGGCATGACCTTAAGCGAGCGATTCACACCAGACATCCCAAGAATATTGCTACACTGAAACAGTTTTGTGTAGAGGAGTGGTCCAAAATTACTCCAGATCGTTGTGCAGGTCTGATCTGCAACTACAGGAAACGTTTGGTTGAGGTTATTGCTGCCAAAGGAGGGTCAAAGAGTTATTAAGTCCAAAGGTTCACATACTTTTTCTTCCCTGCACTGTGAATGTTTACATGTTATGTGCAATTAAACCATGGCAACATCTAATGTTTGTGTAGTATTATGTTCAGCAGACTGTGTTCTTCTATTGTTGTGACTTAGATGACGTTCAGAGCACATTTTATGTCCAATTCATGCAAAACTCCACTTAATCCCAAGGGGTTCACATACTTTTTCTTGCAACTGTATATGGACTTACCTGTATATCTGCAGTGAAACTTGCCCAAGATAAACTTAAGGTGGTTGTAAGCCTTTGAAATGAACAAGGAACAAATCACACTATCATTTAGTGTGTACTTGTCCCAGTCCATAGCACCTAGTGTGGATCCTGGACGCTCACTCCTTCCCCTGCAATCTGTATGAATCACTTTTGGCAGTATACTCCTGACACCAGGCGATCCACACCAAAGCACCCCAGCATACAGGAGTTGCTTGAATCAGATGTTCATATTTCCCAGTGAGGCAGTGTAAAGGGAAGTGTGTCAATTCCCTCCACTCAGCTGTCAGATTACACTCTGCTCTGTGCAGTGTGAGATGTCAGATCCCTGTCCCTACCTCCTTGAGGTTGAGTAATACCATCTGATCTGTGTATTTTGGAGGCTCTGGGGGAGAGAGCAGCAGCAGAAAAAAAGAGTGCACCATTTGTGGGAGGATTTGCTTCATCACTGTTTATCACCTGAGGCTAGTCACCGTAGTGGGCTTTACTGTTCAGTCGATCTCTTAGCTTTCAGCACTGTTGCACTTTGCATGTCAGTTGTAGTCATGCAAAGCTGTACCCATATAAATTTGTATAATTTTTTTGCGACAGATAGAGCTTTCTTTTGGTGGTAATTTATCATAGCTGGTATTTTAGATTTTTTGCTAAATTAAAAAAAGACTGAAAATTTAAGGGAAAAAAAAAAGTTTAGATTCGGTTACAAAATTTTGCAAGTAATTTTTCTTCCTGATGTGTGCTGATGAGGCTGCACTAAGGTAACACTGATGGATACTAATGAGGTGCACTGATTGGCATTGATGGGGCTGCACTGATCATCAGGGCATTAATGATCAGTGCCCTGATTATCTGTGTAAATTTGTGCTGTCAGGATTGCCAGTATTGGCTTTCCTTCCCTCACACAGTGACAGTGTGTGAGGAAAGGAAATGCCGATAACCGACATTTGTTTACATGAGATCAGCTGTGATTGGACACAGCTGATCACATGCTAAAGGGCCGCTGTGATTGGCCATTTAATTCGATCTGTGATCGGCTCCAGCAATCACAGAGCGTGCCAATGCGCGCCCCAGGGGCGAGATGTGGTTAAAGCTGAAAAAGGCTGGAGACTCAGAATGGATGAGGTTATGAAGACCAGGGGAGGTGAGAAAGACTAGTAAAGGGGTGTCAAAATCTTCACTGCTTCTGGTGACTAATGTCTCCATATAGAGAAAGATAGGAAATCTAACATTTTAAAACTGTCACAGGAACAAAGTTAAAATCTTCCAGCGACACCTAGACCTGTGACAACTGTCTACGAGGAGATTTCCCTTTGCTTTGAAGAGATTTCCTGTTATTTCCTGATCTGTTCTTTAGAAATCCCCCCGTAGAAATACAGACATACTACTAAAAAAGGTTTGAGATTTACAGTGAGGAACAGAAGTATTTGAACACCCTATGATTTTGAAAGTTCTCCCACTTAGAAATCATGGAGGGGTCTGAAATTCACATTGTAGGTGCATTCCAGCTCTGAGAGACAGAATTAAAAAAAAAAAATTCAGGAAATCACATTGTGCGATTTTAAAGAATTTATTTGTCTTGCACTGCTGAACATAAGTATTTGAACACCTGAGAAAATCAGTGTTAATATTTGGTACAGAAGCCTTTGTTTGCAATTACAGAGGTCAAACGTTTCCTGTAGTTCTTGACCAGGTTTGCACACACTGCAACAGGGATTTTGGCCCACTCCTCCACACAGATCTCCTCTAGATCTGTCAGGTTTGGGGGCTGTCGCTGAACAACACAGAGTTTCAGCTCCCTCCAAAGATGTTCTATTGGATTTAGGTCTGGAGACTGGCTAGGCCACTCCAGAACCTTGATATGCTTCTTATGGAACCACTCCTTGGTTATCCTGGCTGTGTGCTTCGGGTCGTTGTCTCATTCATCCTCTCCTTAATACAGTGCAGTCGTCCTGTCCACTTTGCAGAAAAGCACCCCCAAAGCATGATGTTACCACCCCGATGCTTCACAGTAGGGATGTTGTTCTTGGGATGCATCTCATCCTTTTTTCCTCCAAACACGACGAGTGAAGTTTAGACCAATACGTTCTACTGTGGTCTCATCTGACCACATGACTTTCTCCCATGCCTCCCCTGGATCATCCAGATGGTCATTGGCAAACTTCAGACGGGCCTGGATATGTGATGACTTGAGCAGGGGAACCATCCGTGTGATGCATGATTAGAAACCATGACGGCGTAGTGTTCTACCGACAGTGAACATTGAAACTGTGGTCCCAGCTCTCTTCATGTCATTGACAAGCTCCTCCCTTGTAGTTCTGGGCTGATTCTTCACCTTTCTTATCATCAGTGATACCCCACGAGGTGAGATCTTGCATGGAGCCCCAGTCTGAGGAAGACTGACAGTCGTCTTTAGCCTCTTCCATTTTCTAACAATTGCTCCAAGAGTTTATCTGTTTTCACCAAGCTGCTTGGCAATTGCCCCGTAGCCCTTTCCAGCCTTGTGGAGGTCCACAATTTTGTCTCTGGCGTCTTTTGACAGCTCTTTGGTCTTGCCCATGGTAGTAGTTGGCGTCTGACTGACTATGGGGTGGACAGGTGTCTTTAAAGAGCTCAGACAGGTGCTACTAAGTTAGATTGAGTGGAGGAGAGGTGGACTTTTTAAAAAGGCACAGTAACAGGTCTTTGAGATCCAGAATTCTTGCTGTTTCTTAGGTGTTCAAATACTTAATCATATAATGTGATTTCCTGAATTTTTTTTTTTTTTTTAATTCGGTCTCTCAGAGTGGGAATGCACCTACAATGTGAATTTCAGACCCCTCCATGATTTCTAAGTGGGAGAACTTGCAAAATCGCAGGGTGTTCAAATACTTCTGTTACTCACTGTATATACATTTTTAAATGCAAGTTTGTGGACAGAATTTTACACCATCCAAATAAATTATATATTGTTTTGTTATGGGTGGATCATGTTCGAATTGTAGCAACAGGTGAATTAAATACGGTGTTCCTAACAGCTTGTTTCTCTGACAATACCTTGATTGTTGATTGCTATATATTACCGATGAATTACTACTGTGGATATATATAAATTGATTAACCCCTTGACGCCGTCACACAAATATACGGCCTCACAGAACTGGGCTTTTTTCCGTGGGGCCGCATATTTGCGTACCTGTCTTTGTGCTAGGAGTGCGCCGCACTGCGCGCTCCCAGCACAAAGAACGTGGTGTCACTGAGAGCCCCCGGGTCCTGTTCTAATGATTGGGACCCGGGACTCCTGATTCTGGGTCACATGATCGCTGTTATAGCCTCTGATTGGCTATCACAGTGATCAGTCACTGTGCAGCCTGGCCCCCTTGTTTTTTTTCTCTCTCTATGAATGGAGAAGATATACATTTGTATCTCTCTAACTCCTGGCATAGGGAAAAAAAATGTTAAAAAGATAAATATTAAAAAATAAAATAAAGAAAAAATACCTAGATCCTAGATCAAGGTTTGATCTAGTTCAGTGCCAGGGTTGTTTGGGTCAAGGTCAAAGTCAAAGGTCAGGGTCAAAGGTCAGGATTAAAAGAAAATTGGTATCAGTGTCTGTTAGTGTCAATGTCAGTGTGTTTTAGGTAAAAAAAAAAAAAAAACAAACAAAATGTGCACTATTGTTTCTGGGCTGTACTACGGGTATAAAGCACAGATAACATACATATATATGGTATCGCTGCGATTGTCAAGAGCTGGAGAATTTATTTTGGGTTGTTCTTTGGTGGTAGGTTATGGTAGTAACCAGAAACACACAGCTAAATAAAAAAAAAAATGATTTTTTTTTTTTTACTATTTTGGGCCAGTTTTCCCTTGATAATAATAATAATAATAAAAAAAAAAAAATAATCGGGAGATATCCATTACCATTTACCAACAAATAAAAGCCCAATTTGTCCTGAAAAAAACGCGGTATAATTCACCTGGATGTACAAAGTAGTTGTGATATGTACGGTTTTACTAACACATGTCAACGTTGCAAAATTGTGCTTAGGCATTTAGATTTGTTTTACCCTTAGGCGAGAAGGGGTTAAAGATAGGTAAAATCCATGACTTTTTATCGGATTATGATTGATTGTATAACAAACGTTGGTTCGTGGCCAGGTACTCTAACTTACTCTTAAGTATGAATGAAGAATTTAAAAAAAAAAAGAAAATTCTACATCTATTATCAGATATAAAGATCTACTCATAGATCTACTCATAAACACAATTAAATATGAAGGTCCATTGCACTAGGTTTTGTCAGCATGTGGAAAACAGTATTGTGCAAGTGAAGAGTGTGAGAGCTATGTCAGACAACTATGCCCAGCTTTAAACACTGATAGTAGTGGTGTTGGCTAAAAAAAGTCTTAATGAGTGTGTTAAGGCATTTTTGCTTGATATAGTTGGGACTTATGCTGCTTTCTTCATTTGATATAGAAATTCACAATAGAATATCTTCTTCAAAGTGTTAGATGGATGTGAGCTAAGCATGCAGATAGATGACAAGTGTGTTCAAAACTTTAACAAATATTAGCATTTCTTTTGAAGTGAGCAAATCCCCGAACCTTCAATTTATCCACCGGATAAAGCTTCTCCATGAAAATGTAATATATCCCATTTAACAAATGACATGGGATCATAAATGTAACAGCATGGATTAAGGGTCACCTCTGTATTACAAAAGCAATTTCTTTTCTTCCTGCAATAGAGCAGTGAAAGTGCAATTTCCTTTGCACGGTGTGCCATTAAGATCTATTTCTCCTTTTTCATCTTGAGGTATGCTATAGCACTGCACAAACAACCAAGCAACAGTCAACTGTAAGCCTTAGAAAATAGAAAACTTTAAGTTAGAAAGAAAAAAGAAAAATACACCCACAGAGCAGATAAGCCACACAATGAGACTACAAGAACCTATCTTTTACATCAATTTACCTCTTTCTCTTCCCCATCCTGGTCCATATTATCCTGACTCCTGTGCCGAAAGGGTGGTTCTAAAACAAAACAGACAGTCTAGATTAGAGCTTTTCATTAGAGAAGTAAATGATGTTTGCTGGGAAAACTGATCATAAAAAAAACATTATTTTCTGCTTTAGTTTAACACTACATTTACTATCAGGTTGGATAGCTTTGAGAGCAACACAAATGCAAGGTTCACACACTTCCAGACCTCGTTGCTATGGTATCCTCTTGCTGTCCTTACAGGAGAGTATCAGTACGAATGGCTGCCAATCAGCATGATGCTACCAAAATGCCTAAAGCTGAACTCCAGCCTTAATTTCAGTTTTGCAAAGTTGTGAGAATTACCCAGAGTGGTCTACATGCAAATGAAGCCTGCCTAGGAACATCCACTGCTCCAGACTCACCCCACCAAGGCATTTTGATATTTGTATAGCTCCTCCAAAGAACCAGCCTACAGCTTGCATTATGAGAGGGTTCCTAATGGGACCACTAAGACAGGGTACGGATATTCAAGCTATGTAACCCATGTAATGGAGATGTACTGTAAGAGATCTAATCCATATGCTGTGGAGATGTCTGACACTAACCAGATATTGGAATGATGTAACTAGTACTATATCCTCGATTTTAAACATTATTATACTGCAAGACCTTATAGTATGTCTCCTTGGTGCCTTAGACGTAGAATTACTCCCAACACATATATAGTGGTTTAGAGTGGTGTAAGAACTTTGTATGGATTCTGAGATGTAACATCTTTTGAACTGTGTGTATGTATATATGCTCAATAAAAAAAAAAATATTGAAAAAAAAATAAAAATCTATGTATACCACCCGGTGATCCCTCCCACCAGCCATGATCTCCCTGCATTGTATAGAGAAGTAGAGGTATGTAATGAAAATAGAATGGTTTTATTTAAAAAGGTAATCAGGAAATGTGGGCAAACTCAGCACTCATAATGATTGCATGTGACAGGGCCAGTGCCTTGTATTATGAGGAGGGAGGGTGTTCAGGCAGAAGATTTCAATTAAAAGCAGCTACCAGCACAAGGAACACTACTCATTCAATGCAAGTACTGTCCCTTGTGCTTAAAAAATAATTAAGTTAAATAATTAAAGCTTCGTATTTAAGAATACAAAACTTAAGTATGATATAAATGACTGAGCGCCTTCTCTGCCCTAAAATAAATAAATTAAGATGAAAATTAATAATTAAAATGTGCCAACTATCCCTCTGGGCATGTACAGCCACTTGTGAAAAAAATCAGTGTTATTCATACCACCATGTTGTACACCAATGACTGTATATAAGGTTATAATAAAATATAACATATGCTAGCTGCCCCCATAAAGTATAAAATCACTTTGGAATCAAAATAGCTGAATTAAAGGTCTGGCGCTTCACATACATAAGTATATGTTAACCCAATAAATTGAATTTCACCAAGGGAAATTGTGTGTGTGTGTAAAATTGAAAATATTCAAAAGTGCCACTACAAATTTTCTGCCAAAAGTATATTCTTCTAGTGCTTGATATATATCTTCGTGCAAAACCTCTTAGTGCTCCACCACCATGTGCCAATATATTGCACTCACCAGCCATCCATGACCCCTACTTAAAAGAAGGTCAATTGCGCTTTATGTAACCAGGGTTTATAATCACAGTAGATTTCTTCTCTCCAGATCCAGAACTGGAAGGCCAGGACATTCTTCACACATCGGACATTACTGTAAAGTCCGGTGTGTGGAAGGTCTGCGGTGACTGAGTGGGGTGTCCCGGCCTTCCAGTCCTGGATCTGGAGAGAAGAAATCTACTGTGATTTTAAACCCTGGTGACAAAGCACAAATTACCTTCTTTTAAGTAGGCGTCATGGATGGTTGGCGAGTACAATATATTGGCACATGGTGGTGGAGCACTAAGAGGTTTCGCATGGAGATATATATCAAGCCCTAGAAGAATATATTTTTGGCACAAAACTTGGAGTGGGACTTTCGAATATTTGCAAATTCTCACACACACATATATATATATATATATATATATATATATATATATATTTTTTTTTTTTTTTTTTTTTTTTTTTTCTTCCTTGGAGAAATTCAATTATCAGGTTAACATATACTTATGGATGTGAAGCACCAGACCTTTAATTCAGCTATTTTGAAAGCTTAAATATGCTCCATTAAATATTTACTTAAAAAGAATGGAAAAAGGAATTTTGACTTACCTGTAAATACCATATTTTGGAGTACAGTACAGACACAAACTACGTATTCATAGATCCTGGGTTATTGCCTGATACCTTCAGGTGATTGGACACTGGCAAGCTTTTGAGGACTTGCCACCTGGGCACTCCCCCCAACCAGGAATAGAAGGGACTGTGGCCTTTACCAAGATATTGAAAATTTACAGAAAAGTAATAATTCCTTTTATCTTAATTGTACAGTAAAGGCCACAAACTTCATAGACCTCGGGACGTCCACGAAGCAATGAATGGGAAAAATGGGCAACAAAATGGCAAATAGAACTGTGCCAATGGGCTCAACAACAACAGCAACCAGGGTCAACAGAACCTTGCAGCCAAAAGCTGCATCCACAGAAGAATGGGACTTCCACCTTGGAGAATTTTGAAAAGGTATGAAGGACAAAGCTACAAAGGCTTGGTAATGAATATTATAATCGTACCTGTGCTTGGTGTCCTAAAAAACCTGTGTATAAACCTAAATGAAAACCCAGCAGTCACTGTGAGTGCACTCTAAAATTGCACTATTATTCCGCACTTTGTTAGGCAACGCTGTTCTCTTTTTTGTTTTAGTCAACAGAGGCTTGGTACCTGAATGCTCAGGAAACACCAACTGACCTGGTAGAGTAGTCTTATGCTTTGTAATCTATGCTTTGGCAATGAGTTGGAAAGGAGTTGTCTCATCCATCTACAATGGTGGAAGTGGGATGTTTGAGAGGTCCTGAGGATAAGATGGATAGAGTCTCCATTTTCCTGCTAGACGCTGTTGCTTTGAGACTCTGATGGCTCTGATAACATCTAGACCAGCGGTTCTCAACCTGGGGGTCGCGACCCCTTCGGGGGTCGAACGACCATTTCCCAGGGGTCGCCTAAGACCATCGGAAAACACATATTTCCGATGGTCTTAGGAACCGAGACACCGCTCCTCTGACTCAGTCGAACAACTCCGCCTCCTCGCCGCTGATTGGCCACCGGAACTGTAGCTCAGGAGAGGCACACAGGCGGCCAATCACCTGGCGAGGAGGTGGAGCTTGGAGAGGAGGAGCCGAGCGGCAGTGCGCGCGTAGAGAAGATCAAGGGAACTGCCGGAGTAAGTGAAGAGGAGAGCGGCCAGAGAAGGAAGACAGCTGACAGGTAAGTGAGAGAGCGAGCCCAGGCTGGAGCAGGGGTCAGCAAGGTAAGTATCATTGGTGTCAGTGGAGGAATAGTGCCCCATCATTTGTGTGACTAATACCAACAATGGGGCACTATTTCTCCCACTGACACCAATGATGGGGCACTATTTCCCCCCCCCCCGCACTGACACCAATGATGGGGCACTATTCCTCCCCCCCACTGACACCAACGATGGGGCACTATTCCTCCCCCCCACTGACACCAAGAATGGGGCACTATACCCCCCCCTGACCCCAAAGATGGGGCACTATTTCCCCCTCCACCACACTGACATCAATGATGGGGCACTATTCCCCCCACTGACACCAATGATGGGGCACTATTCCCCCCACTGACACCAACGATGGGGCACTATTCCCCCCACCGACACCAACGATGGGGCACTATTCCTCCCCCCACCGACACCAACGATGGGGCACTATTTCCCCCTCCACCACACTGACATCAATGATGGGGCACTATTCCTCCCACTGACACCAATGATGGGGCACTATTCCTCCCACTGACACCAATGATGGGGCACTATTCCCCCCACTGACACCAATGATGGGGCACTATTCCCCCCACTGACACCAATGATGGGGCACTATTCCCCCCACTGACACCAATGATGGGGCACTATTCCCCCCACTGACACCAATGATGGGGCACTATTCCCCCCACTGACACCAATGATGGGGCACTATTCCCCCCACTGACACCAATGATGGGGCACTATTCCCCCCACTGACACCAATGATGGGGCACTATTTCCCCCACTGACACCAATGATGGGGCACTATTCCCCCCACTGACACCAATGATGGGGCACTATTCCCCCCACTGACACCAATGATGGGGCACTATTCCCCCACTGACACCAATGATGGGGCACTATTCCCCCCACTGACACGAATGATGGGGCACTATTCCCCCCACTGACACCAATGATGGGGCACTATTCCCCCCACTGACACCAATGATGGGGCACTATTCCCCCCACTGACACCAATGATGGGGCACTATTCCCCCCACTGACACCAATGATGGGGCACTATTCCCCCCACTGACACCAATGATGGGGCACTATTCCCCCCACTGACACCAATGATGGGGCACTATTCCTCCCACTGACACCAATGATGGGGCACTATTCCTCCCACTGACACCAATGATGGGGCACTATTCCTCCCACTGATACCAATGATGGGGCACTATTCCTCCCACTGACACCAATGATGGGGCACTATTCCTCCCACTGACACCAATGATGGGGCACTATTCCTCCCACTGACACCAATGATGGGGCACTATTCCTCCCACTGACACCAATGATGGGGCACTATTCCTCCCACTGACACCAACACAATGATGGGGCACTATTTCTCCCACTGACACCAATGATGGGGCACTATTCCTCCCACTGACACCAATGATGGGGCACTATTCCCCCACTGACACCAATGATGGGGCACTATTCCCCCACTGACACCAACGATGGGGCACTATTCCCCCACTGACACCAACGATGGGGCACTATTCCCCCCACTGACACCAACGTTGGGGCACTATTCCCCCCACTGACACAACGATGGGGCTCTATACCTTCCCACTGACACCAACGATGGGGCACT